ACCATTCTTTGGAAAACTTCGAAGAACCTATTCTCCGGGTATTTGGTTTCACTATAGAAATTCAGCGACCTTCACGTATCTTCAGGGCTATCTTCATCGAATGCAGGTACGATTACTGAAAGAAAGTACATTATCTCTACATTTAAAATCAAATTCAAAATATATTTTTAAAAATTTCTTCTATTTTTTTTTTGTTTTAGATCGACAATCAGTTGCAAAAAGTCTCATTTCCAGTTATGTTGCATACGTCCTCGCAAAAAACCCTAACCCGTTTAATGGAGAACCGAAAATTGAAACATTTCATTGAATTTTGTTGTTTAAAACAATACAAAGCTACGCGCAATATTTTTAAGTAAGTAACAACAAACTGTACAGAATAATTAAAAAATATTAATTTAAAAATTAACAATTTTAAGTAACTTGTATTTTATTTTCTCGCAGAGAAATAAGTTTAATTGTCAGAGAATTCAGTCTGAATTTGCAAGAATGCTTTTTGATGTCCTTGATAAATAATCTATTTCCAAAAAAACTAGAAACAAAACATTCAATTGCTACAAGATTAAGAAAGGATCTTTCTACTATACATGTGGCTCCATTTTGTAACAAGGAAAAGGTCTGGATTTTTTCCCCATAACGTGTTCTTTAATTTTCTTTTTTTCTTTTGATATATGAAAAATAATAAATACTATTTATAGATCTTTGAAAACCAAAGGAATGATATTATTGAACATTTGTACATTTCACCGATTACAATACATTTGAAACTTTTGGCGGATACAAATGGTTTTAATGCGAATCAAATCAGTGAAATGTCGGATTATTGTAGTTTTGTGAGATGCATGTATGATTACGCTTGCAAAGGAGCATTTGAGAAAAATGCAGAATTCAGGTATCAAAAATTAATTTTAAAACAGAAATATTACATTAATAAAAAATTATTTGATTAGTAATTTGTTACTTGACTGCTATCAAAAAACATATTAAACAAAATATATTCTTCTTACAGATTACCAGCCTATGAGACAGATTTTCAAAAACTAAATAGCAAACAGTGTATTTCGAATATATGGCATTATTATACTGGAAAAATCATGCAACAATTTAATGTTTTAATACTTTCTGTCACAGTTTTAGGGAATCCATATGGATATAATTTCAAATCACCAGAAGAAAGTAGTTATGAATCGAATTCTGTAAGTTCTCTTTTTTAAAAACTGAAAAAAAAATATCGAAAATATTCATAATTGACAAAAATAATTTTTTTTTCCCCCAAAGATATTAACTTGCGAGGATGAATTCGCAGAAAAATTGAGCTATGATATCTCGTGCCTTTTGGGATATTCAAGTTTGGATACAATGCAATCTAGTCATTTTACTTTTCAAGAAAACGAAAGTAACATTTTTAATATAAAAGTAAGTAGAAAAAAGTATTTTCAAAAAATTATATTAAACACTTAATAGTAAATCGGCTAAAAATTTATTTTTTATAAACTGAAATTTTTAATATTACTTGAAAAAATTTTCAAATATAAATGAAAAATTTTTGTAATTTCAGACAGTGAATTCATACGTGGAAAATAAAGACGAACCTTTACAAGTTCTTATGATTAATAATTCTTTCTCTGTTGATATGGAATTACAACTTTCAGGTTTAATTATAAAGCCCACAGACAGTAAGTAATAAAAAAAAAGAATCTCAAATTTATTATATAAATTCAATTTCATTAAAATAAAAAAAAAAAAAAAATTATTTTTAGATACACATCAAGAAGAGTTAAGATGTTTTTTTAAAACAATTGGAAAAAGTTTACTAAGACTAACAAAGAAGGAAGGCAGTACTTTTCACATTTATCCGGAACTTATAACCGACACGATTAAAAGGTTAATTTAATTAAATTTTTAGAAAAAAAATTAAAAAAAACTAATCTTGATGTTAATTTATAACTTTTATGAATTTTATTATTTTTTATGAAAAATAAAATTCTCCTATGAGTATCAATCTTAAATACTACAAGGAATTTTTAAATTCGTTGTAGTAAATGAAGTTGATAAATAAATTATTTTTGCTTCAGAGCTCAAGAAATGGGTTACAAATTCATAGCGAGAGCACGATTACCTCGATACATCGATCCTTATTCGGTAATTATTAACTAAATTATCTTCATTAAAAAAAAATTCAATTTCATACTATTTTTATTTTTTTATATTTACCTTGAACAAAATATTATGATAAGAATATTTATAAGATTTTGAAAAAAAATGTTTATAAAACATGTTTTCCTGAATAACTAATTCTTTAGTGATTTTTTGTTTATATAAAAAAAAACCGAGAAATTTCGATTGAAAATAATATAAAAGAGGAAATAAAACTCACATTTTACGATTTTGTCTTCTGTTTCAGGGCGTAGAACTTTACTCATATCACAAAGCGAAGGGATTGCACTTATTGAATGTCATAAACAAAAATTGTTACTCTCACAAAGATTCATACTGGGCACATACAGCACTTTCTTATGATGGAAAACACGTTGCTCTTGTAACATTCAGGTATTTATAATATAGACTGAAAAAAATCATATAAAATGCATTTCCAAAAAAAAAAATAAATAAATAAATGGCAAGTGACAACAAAAAAATATATATAATTACTTGATAAAAAATTTAAAAAATTAAATAGAACCTTACCTTATTTATTAAAAATCCATTTTCGTCTGTCTGAAATACTTAACAATTAATTATTGTTTTTTGTGTTCTATAGGAGGATATTCCTAATTGAACACAGAAGTGTAGGTGACCCTTGGACTATTGAATGGAGTATTGAGATCAATCAACTTTGCGAGCCACCTGTTGTAATGGGTAATAAAATTGTACTTCGAATTAATAAGGTAAGCAATCAAATATTCAATCATTTCCATTATTTAACTTAACATAAATTGTTTCGATAAATCGTTTTAAGTTTTAGTAAATTGTCTAGATTTTTTATTTTCATTCTTTTTTTGAGAAGCGTAATAAATAAGAATTTAAAAAAAAAACATTACATTTGAATACTGCATTTAAGAAATCTAAAAATGAGAAAATATAAATTAAAAAACATTTTTTGTTTCCATAAATCGGAAAACATACTTGTTTTCATTTAAAATTGAAATAATTCAAAATTATTCGTTTAATTAATATTAATAATATATCTATTAAAAAAAAGATAATCATAACACATTAAAAATTAACATAAAACGCTACACATTTATAATTTTTTTTTTTTGACGCCTTAAAGTATGTACAATTATTGACACTTTATCCTTAATCCATTTTCAAAATAAAATATGAGGAAATAATCATTTTATAAATATTTAATAATAGACAAAAAATGTAAAAATCTGTTAGGTATACATACATGAAACAAATAACAGAAAATTAAATTAAAAAATAAAAATTAAATTTTCAATGTTTGGAACAAACAATATATTTATTCTATTTTTTTGAATAAAAATCTTCGTAAAAGAAATTAAATTCTATAATTTCAAAAAGTAAACATCTACATTTACAAATATTTTCGCCTAAGAAAACTGTAATTTATTTACAACATTCAATTTCGTGTAATTTACCGAGCACTTTTAGTAAAATGTTCTAAAATATCGCAATACAAAAGTACAAAAATTATATTTTAGCTACATTTTTGTAGTTTTTACGGAAATTTTACATTTTACAAAACAGTTTTGTAATTCACACGAACCTGAAATTTTGTAAATGATAATATATCCAAGAGTTTCGTAAAATTAAAAAAAAAATTTTCCATCTAAAAAGTATTATGTCGAAACATTGAAAATATTTAGCAAAGTCAAAATTTCCCGTTATTTGTATGTATGATCTCTATTCTATTCAATAAAAATCTTATTCCCCTAAAAACAACCACAAACAATTTTTAGTTATTTAAAACAAAAATTTTACATTTAATTAAAAAAATGTTATACAACCTAAGTCTAATCATTACCAAAAAAAAAACATGATCACAAAATACACCCAATTATTAGAATAAATAATATTAATTAATTATCGGAGAATTTGACAAACTTTTTAAAAAAATGTACATAATATTTCGCTAAAATAGAAACTTGTAACAAAATGAGAAACAATATTTTACAATTAAATGAATAAAGTGTCAATAATCATTTCCCAAAAATTAGAAACGTTATTAAATAAAGAAATTATCAATAATATTATCATTAACAAACAAAAATAAAATAAAATAAAATAATATAGCATTTTATTTTTATTTGTTCCAGGACGAGAAGTTATCTGTGGTCGATTGGTACTTGGAAAGTAAGGAAATCGCAGTATTGGAGTGGCTCTGTCGCAAGATAAACATTGCCATGATCCTAAACATGGAGAGCAGTACTTGTCCTCGTGATGATTCATAAAATGTTAAAAACTCAACTATGTCAGATTGATGTATATTTCAACTAATTCTCTACAATAAATCTTATTAAGAGACGATGCAAAGGAGAGACGATAATCTTCCTACAATTGCGTAATTTATTCGCTTTTTTTTCCGAAGTTAGATTGCAGATCACTGGATAAAGTACGTCTAGTTTATTTCATAATTTATTTACAAAAAGTCTTAGTAAATTACACTTACAGGCATCTTCACTCGAACTAAAGTAAATAATTTAAGAGCTACACGTATTAAGATGTCTATAGAGTAGGATATTTCGGGGTTGGGGGAGAAGTCGGGTTCAGGGAAGTGCTCTTATCATCCTTAGTTCATAAACTTCTTATTTGAGAAGCTTTAAAATTTCTTCGACTAGATGTCGAATAATATATATATATATAAGGACCGTCCGTAAACCGTTCTCTTTTTTTTCTACTAATAGAATTAAAAAGAAAATCAAAGAACCGTACGTTCTTGGGATAGATTTTCTTTTTTTTTCTTCTTCCTCCACCTTCTCATCATCAATCATCATTATCATAATCATAATTCATCGTCATCATTATAATCATAATCATTATTTTTTTTTCTTTTTTTTTTTTTACAAATTAGCGTCGTTTGTACAATCGATGATAATTTATTATTATTTTTTATCAAGGAGTCCCACACAACTATTATTTGAATTTAGTATTCATATTCGAACACTTTTGCCCAAGAATTTCTAATTAGTCCACACTTTTTACACATCGAGACGCTCCTCTTTTTTTTTTATTATAAAACAATTATCATCGCAATTATTCCACTTTTTTCTCGTATTTAACGCACGAGCGGGTTTTTTCTTTTTTTAAAAATCGCCTTTTAATCTTTCTTTCACTTTTTTTTTATATTAAATAAAATAAAATATATGCATATGTATAAAGAACGGAAGAATTTCATTCTTTGCTAAAGTGCAAGCGAATGACTACTCGTTAGTTCGCTTAAGCTAGTGTCTGGTAGACCCTGTCCCCCATTCCCCGTTACACCACAAAAAAAAAAAAAAAAATTTCCCCAACAAAATTTTTCACTCACACCCACATTTCCGTCCCCCTCCCCACAGCCCCACCCGGCCGAGCAACAAAATGGTACGTATCACACGTATCAATTTTTATTGTTTTAAAAAAATTGTTCTCATTCAATTCTCTTGCTTTCTTTCTTTTATTTTTTATCAACATTCATTCATTCATCCCTTGATTCTTATTTATTCCTTCTGGTTTCTTTTACTCACCCCATTTCTCATTTATTCAGAAGTTATATCAATCATTTCAAAATTTAATTCTTGTTGTTTCTTGTTCCTGCCTGTTTTTTTTATTTGTTTTTGTTAAATGTCGAGACTTGTGGGTCTAATCCACGCACAATATTTGGGGTGTCATCGCACATTTCGATGACACAAACCGAATAAGATTCAATGGAAGTGTGTGTTATCTACAAAATACCTTAATTACTCGCTAATTACAGCACAAAAACATGCAAATATAAAAATTTGCATTATATTATTATATATTTATATATATAATCGTAATCCACGATATATAACACATCGCACGATGCGAGTTGCATTTTTTTTATTGGTGGCTTTTCTTTTATATATTATTATGCAGCTGCTGTTTTTTTTCTCGGAATTTTCATTTATTCTTACTTTTTTTTGTTCTCTCTTTCAAATCACATTCAAACACATTCACTCTTTTTTTATTTCCTCCTAAAATTCTTTCCACTTTTACGTAATCTTTTTTCTCTCTCTATTACTCGTTCCTTTCCCCCATTTTTTTTTTCAACCATTCCTATTTTTTTACGCATTCTAATTTTCCTATCCTTTTATCTTATTCTTACTCTCTCTTTCTTTATCATTACTCTAACATTCTGCAAATATTCTCTCGTACCGTTTATCTCACATTTTCATTTTTTAACTATCTCCCATTCATATATTTCTCGACTATTGATTATCTTACATTACACTATCGATATTATTTCAATTCACGATTGAAAGGTATACCAATGGCGCTAACCACACTGCGCTAACACCGATAATTAGCATTTTTTTTTTTTTTTTTCTTTTATCTTATACTTGTGTTTATATATAAAACTACAATCGCGTCACAGTTTTAAATGTTCAAAACTCGAATTTGACAAAAAGAAAAAAAAACGAGTAGTTTTTATCTACGAAGAAAATAAATGGTGGTATGCACACCGCTCTTCGAGTTACGACGTTACACTGCTCCTCGAGCATTGGAACAGAACTCGCGCGACAATTGCCGCCACTTGTTGATCGAGAATTTGGCTCATAACAAGTGCCAACATTCGCGATTCATGTTGCAAAAGTAAAGTCCGATTATCAGGATGCCTCGCGAGATTTAATAATGTTCCCGCAGCACGTCGCAACATATCGAGACTTGTGCCCATTGATTCAGGATTTTCACGTAATGCTGGTAATCCATGTTGATTTGCCACTTGAAGTGCGCTGCTCTCTGCTTGTTCAATAAACGCCACTAGCAATGCAACACATGGCGTTTGCAGTGCAATACTTCGTGCCACACCGCTGTCAGCTGCCGATAGGAAATACAAAAGATTCACACTAAATTCCCGTAGACATTGTTCTTCACTTCTACATAGAAGTCGCGTGAGAACTGAACAGAGTCTCTGCAATCGTGAATAAGGCGGTGTTGCCACAACGAGATCAACATTACTTTCCGTCACGCAAAGTTTACACAATGCCTCAAGTGCAAGCCTCTGCGGTGAGAGTGATGAATTTAAGCTCACCGTTGGAAATGGATCCTGTCCATGTGCAGCTGGACACACCGCCCAATGTAATAATCCATCGAGAACAGGTCGCGATATCTCCTCTGGATGCTGACTGAGATCCAAATGACCAGCAATATTAGCCGACATAACCAATACATTTTCCCTGATGTGATGCAAAAAATTCCACCACCATTCACCTTCACCCTGAAGACTACTACACGAATCGGCAAAATCAGCGTCCTCTTCACGATCATAGTTTCGTGTTTTTAATGTTCTCACTGGATGTTCATGATGCAATAGTAAAAGTTTTCCAAGGAGACTGAGAAATGTGACATTCTTGGCAAATTCACTCTCATTGCCCGGTATGAATGTTAAATTCCTAAGAATCGTTGACAAACAAACACAACGTTGGGCTAAACTATTTTGTGTCTCAGTGACGAGATAAAGACTCGCCTCATCACGTGAATAACTCTCATCCTCATAGTCACTTATTCGTCTTCTCTTTAATGTTCCAGCTGGATCTTTTATTTTCAATCTTGGTCCCTCTTTCTCTTCACTCGATATACCACCTTCCTCATCAGGTTCAACTTTAATCTCCCGTTTCTCCGAATCAATTGTACTTGTCGAATCACTGAGGCCATTTTGATTTGGAAGTGATTCCTCATCATCTTTTGGCAATTCAACAAAATGCTCACCAACATTATTATTTGCTTTTGAATCAACTTCACATTCTTTTCTTGAACTGTCATTTTTCTTTTCAAAAAGTTCCCGCGTGAGATCATTCATTTCAACGGGTTCCTTCTTAATCCTTGATAGAACATCGCTAATTGATTTTGTCTTCTTTTTCTTCTCTTGTTTACGTTCGCCAATATCCTTTGGCTTATCACCACCACCACCACACAATTGCTCGGGTTTTCTATGTGACTCGGAATTTTCAGGCGGTGATGATGATTCAGAGATTTTTATTTCATCTTTTGAATCAACACTATCAACTTCTTTTTGCAAGAGAGGAGGTTTCTCGTCTCGCAAATGTCGCGCAAAAGGTACATTACCAGTTTCTGATTGAAAACAAGTGACAATATACTTGGTGGTGTTACTTTCTACTTGCCAGGGCTCAGTTTCTACTTCACAGTCTTGATGATCCCAGGATCTACGGCTGTCCAAAACAAATATCTCATCATCCCTTGGAACCATTTTCACTGGACGACCACGTCTCGAGAGGAAGGTGTAATTTGACGATGACAATAATTTTGTACGATCTTCTGGATCAATTGGCCGCACCACTGAACCAAGATCAACTTCTGGTCCATCCACAGTTTGACCCCAGTATCGCTCCTCGTCCGATGTTGATGATTCGAACATATCAGAGAGCGAACGTGAAAAATGCTCCAATAAAACATCTAATAATCCAGGTAGATGCGTCAGTCCAAAGTAACTCACCTGAAACAAAAGAAAGAAAGGACGTCATTATTATTATTATAGTAAAATAAATAATAATATTAGAAGTAAAGTAAGATTTCTTTTTAAACAATTAAATAAATTAGAAAAATTAATACTTACAGAAGAGTCGTCAAATAAAAGAATGTTTAGAACATCCAGTGCCCAACAACTTTCAGCAAGAAGTCCTGATCGTAACGCCATCATAACTCGCCAGGCTTCAACTGGCGCAACGTCTGTGCGCGTTAATTTTCGTCGTTTGTACAATAATGGTGTGACTGCTTCAACGCTGTCAGGTGGGAATGTCATTTCTCTTTTAGGTGCTGGTTGTTGATTCAGCATAGGATTTATGCCAAGTTGACTCTGTAATTTCAAAATTTAAATATTTCATTTAGATTTTCTTTTCATTTTTACTGAGATTTTTTTTTTTTTACTTTTAATAATTAAAAGTAAAATATTTTTCATTTTATAAATTGATAAAATTTAGCTTTAGATTTTTAGGGGAGGGTACATCCAAATTTTCAACTATATTAAGAGGAGAGACCGCTGAAATTTCAACCTTTCGAAATTAAGACTGTTTAAGGTTGTCAATTTATCTTACTGTTAATATTTTTATTATTTTTCATTGTAAAAATTGTGAAATTGTTATAAAAATTACTTTTTTTCATTTTTCATAGTGAAATATGATTTCAGGTTCTAAAAGAATTTTTTTAAAAAATTGTTACCCCTAAACCAAACTAATTATATTTGGTTTAAATTTTATCAATTATTCCTTAAAATTTCAACTTCTACAATTTTTATTATTTTTTATCGGTAATTTTTTCATATGCATTTTCATGATTCTGAACAATCAATCGTATGGATTTTAAAAATTTTAATATTTTCAAAATAAATAAAATTTCTAAAATGGTAAAAAATTTTTTTTTTTAATTTTGATAATTTACAATAATTTTAGATTCCAAATAATGCAAAAAAAAGAAAAGAAAAATTGACACCCCTTAACAAAATTAATTTCGATGAGTTGAAATTTCACCGATCCGTCCCCTTAAGAAATTATTTTAAAAATTCAACAAAATTATTTTTAAAGTAATTTTTTGCAAAGAATTCAATTTTTCATTAAATAAAGTAGGTCCCAAAATAATTTGATCACTTTTTAATTTTTCGTAAAAATTGAATAATTTTGAAATCCATTCGTAATTTTCTAGAAAATATTTTTTTATATTTAGAAAAAGTTGCCGAGTAAAATTTTCAATTTTTACTATTTTTGATGCATTTGTTTCGAAAAAAAATTGTTTTTAGGTTACAAATTCTTAAAAATATTACTATTATAATGTATTTTTAAGAAAGTCATGTGCATTAAAATAATAATTTCTTAATGTAGTTGAAAATTTGGGTGTACTCTCCCTTTAAAAAAGGAGAGAAAAATTCTCTTTACAATATTAAAAAATCACCCACATAAACTTCATCTTAAAAGAAAAATCATGAATGTTTTGAAAAAAAGATGATTAAGGTGAAAAAAGAAAACCAACTGCAACCCCTAATATTTTCTTAATGAAATATTGAAATTTATTACCTGATGAGAGCCAGGAGGTGGATATAGAGTTGACGGTTGACTTGAATAATGACGTTCCCAAAGTGTCGGTGGATGAGAGATAGGAATACTTGGTTGGGCCGTGGGCCTAGTTGACTGTTGGCCGACCCATTGTTGAGAGCTAGGAATTCCTGCAACACCAGATGGAGCAGGAGCACCAGAAGCAACCGGAGGTTGTGGCGGCGGTGGTTGTGGTTGTTGTGACTGCGGTTGAGGTTGCTGACTAGGATACTGAACTCTAGCTCCTGCACTGCCACTGTTATACTGATTCGTCGCACCTGGCCATCCTATTTCATCGAAATAACGCGAGATTAATAAACCGTAAATAATTCATTAATTAAAACCACAATTAAACAACTTTATTATTTAATTTTTCAAAAAATGTCTTACAGTAAAAAAAAATCAAAAAGTTTACCTGGATAGGCCGGCCGTTGCTGATTATACTGAGGATACTGCTGGTCTTTGGCAAAATCTGGATGTCGCCTAGGTTGCTGAGGACCTGGTGGAGGTGGCGGCATATTTTTGTTAGCTGCTGTTGCCGAGGGATAAATTTGACTTCCACCTGGAGCTCCGTATCCACTCTGAAAAAATGAGAAATCATTTTATAATCTTTCATTTCTTTTTAAAACAAACTAATAATTTTTTTAGCACAAAAATAAGTCACCTGTTCTTGTCTGTAATAATCTTGAGGACAGGAAAATGTCGAAGATGCGGATGATTGTGCCGAGGAAGATGGTTGACACGAGGGTGGTGGCTGTTGTGCATTCGGCGGGTGACCCTGGGGCGTCGAAGGATAATTGCTATTACGAGCACCGGGCGGTGTTCCAGTTGAATAACTAGTCGGCTGCTGATTGCCAGCATACCTATTGTACATGTCTTGACTTCCGGCACTGTTCGGCGGCATGTTACCCCCAGAGTATCCCCTATTTGGAACAAACCTTTCGTTTTTTGTAATGCTTCAAGTTATTATCATTTCACTCAAGAGATATGTATATTTATTCTAAATCTAATTTCACTAATCCAACTAAATTCTTAAAATCTTTTACAATTAAATTATATACAGTCATCATCAGTTGTTTTGTTTCTCTCTCAAACATATAAAAATTTCAGCCAATTAATTGAAAATCGAGATATATTCACAACATATTGAATGATAATTAAATTCTAAAATTAGAAATTTGGGTTTAACGTTCAAAAGAAAACAATTTTAAATCATTCAAGTTAAAAGTTCACTTTCTGTAGACTTTAAATATTTTAATTCTTAATTTTTAAAACTTTTAAAAAATAAAAAATTGTCAAAACAAAATTGATAAAGAAAAATTTAAATTATATACGAAAAGAAACTATTAATTTAATATAAACTGTGATGTTTGTATTTAAAAAAAAAAATTTAAGATATTTATAAGTAACCTGAAAATACTGTACTGAATTGACTCAACAATAAATAGAAGTTTACTGCAATTGTTAAAGGCATTATTTCCAACTTAAAAGTGTAATTTGCAGATAAACAGTTTCATGAAATCTAATCTAATCTATTTGTGGACTAGTCATTAGTAAATTGAAAGAAAAAAAAAAAAGAGTCCAACTAACCTTTCAGAGTCGGGTACGTAAGGCGGATAATGCGTGCGAGGTGTGTACGGTTGATTGAACTCTCCCTGCTGCGACATTCCACTACCCTGTGGTCTAATATATTGTTCTTGAGGATAATTTTGAAAGGAGCCAGTATTTTGGTAATTACTTTGTTGCATCCCTGAAAAATAAAAGTCAATCATTAAAATTAACATTTTTTTTTTTAATTTAAAAATTAAAAATGTATTTAATAGAAAACTTTGTTTATTTTAAAAATAAATTGGAATTATATTTCAGTTTAAAAATCAATTAGAAACTAATTTTCATGTTTACTCTGTATAATTTAAAAATTTTGGTTTTAAAAATCGATGAATAAAAATAATAAAATTTTTATTTATTCCAAACAAAATTGTAAGAATGTTCTGTAGCCAAAAGGTTTAATTTTAATTTATATTAATAAAATTAATAAAAATATAAAACAAGAGAAATTAGAAAATATTCTATTATAAAGAAGTAATGTTTATTCACCTTGATGAGGTGTAGGTGCGCTACTTTGGCTAGGAGGTCTTGGTGGTGGCGGTGTGTAATCTCCTCCAGGTACACCTGGAGCGCCTCCCGGATAGCTACCTTGATAACTTCCATAACCATCCATGGACGTGCTACTCGAACCGGCGGCAGGAAACGAGTCTTGTGAATTTGATGAACCTATTAGAGAAAAAAATAATAAAAGTGCATTTAATAAAATTGTACATTGTCATCCGCCTCGACTTGTTGCCGAAAATTCTTGATCGATAAACTTTCAGCCTCGAAGTCTGCGTTGACCTACCTGGCGAGGGTACGGATGCTGTACCTTTGGATCCTTTTTTCTTCGAACCCGCCTCCACCTGATTAATAATCGGTTGTGGATCAACACCTCCTCGATCAAAGTGACACTCAAACGGCAACAAATGCTTCGTATAATGTTTGCGCAACGTATATGCAGCACTGCTACTCGCACCAATTCCAAGAAGTCCAGCAATGTCCTTCCATGTTTTGTTCTTTGTCACCTGTGAAATAAAAATTCAAACATCGATTCTACAATTCATTCCAAAAATTTATTTGTTGGTAATTTTTTTTCGTTTCCGTAAAAAGACAAACTGTGAAAAGATGTAAACTTTTTTCACACACAAAACACAAAGAAAAGCTTGGATATTGAATTAAAGTATACAAAAATATGGCCAAGTCGAAATGAATTCAAAGTCATAAATTATAGATGATCGGAAAAATGATTAAAAAAAAAAAAAAAAATACCAAAAACTAATGAAATAAATAAAAAATAATTTAAGAAAAATTAAAACAATATACATAAAACAGAAACACTTAAGTAAACTAAAAAACAAAATCAACACTACCCAAAAATAAAAAGGATGATAAACCCAAAACTACATATATAAAATAAACAGTAAAAAAAAAAAACTTTACAAAACTACGGAAAAAATCATTGTGCGAAAACAAAGAAAAAGAAATACAAAATAAAAACAAAAAATATGATAAAAATTATTACGAAGCATGCAATTAAAAAAAAATAGAGGAATTTTTATGTGAAATAAGTACATCTAAATTACCAGTATTGTAATGATATTATTACTCTTTTTTTTCTCTCCTCTCAAAATTAGAATAATTCCATATAGCACCAGGGTTCCTAGAGAGCAATGTCTTTCCAAAAATATGACGAGCGACTACTTAGAGAAATGATGATTATGCAATTTAAAAACACGGACATCACAAAAGGAAAAAAAAACACTTTGATTGACATCAAAATACTAAAATCATGCACAACCGTGCACAAAATAAATAACACTGATCAGCGTGTAACAAGAGGCATCGTGAACATTTTCTTTTCCTATAATACAGCCTAGATTGTGAAACTTAAACATTCACTAGAAATAAAATTGTAACTATTAATAAAATACTCTCCTTTAAATTGACTATTTAAGAACTAAATAAAAACTATTTATTTAAAAAAAAAAAAAAAAAAAAAAACATCACAAAATTATGAAAACATTTAGAAATATTAAATTTAAAAATATCTCGATTCTATTTTTTAAAAAAAAAAAAAATTTTTTACATGTATCTGAAAAGAAAACGAAATCAATATATACAAAGCTTGAAATTAAAAAAAAAGTTTACAAAGCTGAAATAAATAATAAAATTAATAATTGACATCTATTTTAAAAAGCTAAATATTCATTTGACTGGAAAAAATAAAGAATATATTAATCGAGTTACATAAAGTGAAAATTCTGGTTTCACGAAACTAGATATAACCAAAAAAAAAGGAGCAAAAATTTAGATGAAAATGGTAAAAGCTCACGATGGACCTCTAAAAATGCGTGAAGTAAGATGTAAAAAAACAAATACATATACAAATAAAAAAACGATAAGACACCGAGGGCTAGATGGAACTACACTGCACCTTGCATACCTCCATGAAGCCCCCCCTTTCCTTCACGTAGAGGTATAATCGAAACAAATCGAGGGGGTTCTTGGAGATCGTGGGACAACTGGTGATTGGTGTTCGTTTTTCTTCCATAAATGTGACCAATTTATCCAACCAAGATCTTCTTTCTATCGAGTCATCCATTTCGTACAGTTTTGCTAAACTATCAGGTTTCTGAAAAATCCATTAACAGTTAGAGTTCATCCTCTTTCTTTCTTTTTTCTGCCTCAAAAAAAAAAATAAATAAATAAATAATAATCACAAAAAGAGACCTTTCGTGGAATTTCAAATTCAAAATTGTGTCTCAATGAATTTTCAATTTCAGAAAAAGCACCTTTCCTAAAGCAATTGAGTGTCCCGATCAAATATCTCGACTGACGCTCGGACGCACGCTCTAATCGTAGTCGGGTAGCAGTGAGCCGCTCACAGGCTGTCACTGCTACTTGACTGGTAATAGAGCGATTCGTCCGAGCGTCGGACGAGATATTTGATCGGGACATTCAATTTTTGAATTAATCTTAAATCCATGCAAAATTTTGTAAACCAAAAAAATGGAAACAAGTAAATTATTTTAGAAAATTCGAATACAAAATAATTAAGGCAATTATAATTATAATGTGAATAGCTATTTGATTGAATAAATGTAAAAATTGTTCTTTTTTCTTTAGAAAAAAAAATCAACAAAAACACAAATTTCTCATACAACTTTAATTTTCTTTTATTTTAATATTAATCTCTCAATTGAGAACATTGTGCGGGTACTATTTTTGAATAAATCGATTTTCTACAAATTTTGAAAAATGGTTTCTTCAAAATAATATTCATTAACTGTGGTCAAAATTTGACAAATCTTTTGCAATATAAAAAATTGAGTTATTTGGGTTTAAAAATTTTGAACCTATATTTTTTATTTTCTAGAATTACAAGGAGTCATTCATTAATTATGTAAGGGTCCTTAGGGGGGGTTTATATAATCTCTACATGGTCTTATGTTGGGGGGTGGGTAGAAGCAGTTATTACGTAAGATTTTGCCAAGTATTTTCCATTTGTATTGTTGTAATTAATTTTTTTAATTACATTAAGATTTTGTCCTGACATGGAGATAGGGGAGAGGGTCAAAATTATCCAAAATCATCCTTACGTAATTAATGAATGGCCCCCAAAGAGATTTTAACCTTTTTACAACATTTTCAGTATTTACATAAGGGAATATTTTTCAAAAATTTAAAGAAAATCGATTTTTTTTAAATATCAGCCAGAGAATGTCCTCATATTAAATTTACAAATGTTGTTATAGATTAATCAAGTTTATGATAGAAACCATATTAAATTAAAATGTTAAAAAAGCAGAATTATTTAGAACGAAAAAATAGCAATACTGTGATAATATATAAAAAAATTATAACCTTAGATCTGTATGGGTCTTGAGGCACATGGCTGTTAAATACCTGTAAAGTACAAAAATATTTTATTGTAATGAAAAAAAAAGGAAAATATTTTAATAATTACACATCAAGTTACTGATTAAAACAAATATCTGTACTTTGAGAACACACAAGTCTTTTTTTTAAAGTATGACATGCACAAATAAAAAGTCAAATTTGTGAAATATAATAATATATATAATAAAAAAATAAAATGAAAATTAACATACAGGACTTGCAGGTGTGCGCGGCCAGCCTGGACTACTCATGTCTGGATATTCCTCATGTATTGAATTGATGCTAGCAGCACCAGGAGATGGAACTGTGCTTTGTGGTGTTGTTGAATGACTGTGATAAGCTCCCAGTAAGTCTTTTCGAACCTTTGGTGTAAAAGCTGGATCTTCTCCAGATGCTATTTATGTAAAAGCACATTTTTAAAAAAAAATGTTTATATAAAAAGAATTAAAAATATAGAGTTGGACTAAATTTTTCTTTCCACTGTCCCTTCAATTCTTTAAAAAAAAAACACGTGAAAATCATGAAAAATTTTTTACTTCTTCTGAATTTTCTAATACAAGAGTGTTTAAAAACGATCAATTTAAATCTAATCCCAAAATAAAAATATCCAAAAATCGAATTAAAAGTTACTGACAATTACTAATTTTATAGATTAAAAAACATCAAGATTTTGAAAATCTCACTTCAACTTATGTAATTAAGAAAATAAATAATAATTAATCATTAAATACTGACCAGCCGATGCATTCGATAACGTAGATTGCTGAGAACCTTCGTCCAGGGAAGTGCCATCGGGACCCGTCGTTATCACAGATGTTACTGTTCCACTTGAAGTTGACGTAACATTAATAGAGGTGGTACCTGTAAGCAAAAAATTCTCCTCTAAATAATAGAAAACAAGAACTTGAAGTTCATTTAAATATAATTTAATAAACAAATACTGTAAATCAATGAGCAATTATCGAATCCAATAATCACGCATATAAAATTATCACTTTAACCAATTAATAAAACCATACATAAAAAAATGTATTATTTAAACTTATTATTTAAATTTCCCTGAAATATATAATTTAAAAACACAAAAATTACACAGAAATAAATATATTAAACACATTGACAAAAAAAAAGAATTTACTATTCATGATTCTTTACTAAAAAGTTGTTATATAAGTCTTATTCAAAAAATTTAATTTAGAAATTAGAAACAAATTGTGTTTCAAAATTTGAAATTCCTTTTATTTCAATAATTAATATAGAAAGGAATATAATCTAAAAAGTTTATTATTTATAACAATAAAAATTACTTACACATAATAAAAAAAATCTTAATTTATTGTGAAAAGAATATATAAATATATATAATAGAATATATATAAAAATAATAAATAATTTACTACCTCTAAAAGAAAAATTTGATTCAGAGATGTTTTTTTTCCTTCTACCTATACCTTTCGGTACATAAACCATGATAAAACGTCACTTATTAAATCAATTATTTAACCAATTATTAATAATTGTGAATTATAAAAAAATCATAAACCGTACAATAATTATTTTTAGGGAGATTTGATTATAAAGTTTCAAGCACTATTCAAAATCGAAATGATTGAAATCAAGCGACAGTGAGCTAAAAGAGAATAAAATGTCTACCTCGGGTTTGTTGATTCAAGTGATTGTCAATTGATGTCACTGCCTGACCGACTTAGAATCTTTTTTTTTTTTTTAAATATTAGATGCCCTTTATAAAACCATTTATTTTTGATAACTTCCATTTTATTAATCCTTTAAAAATATGTCAGTTAATAAATTATTCAATGATATCCCAGTATTTTTTTGTTAACTCAATGATTTTACAAAAAAAGAAAAAAAGCGAACATATGGAAAAGGTATATTTTCAATTTTAATTAAACTTAACATTAAATATTATTATACATATTTTATTATTATCAAATTAATATTTATTGTAAATTGTCATTCTTTGACAATAAAGGTACTACGAATTTTAATTAAACTTTTCTTAACATAATCTAAGTCTTCCTTTATTCGGAAAAGGTATAAAAGGCAAACCTGAATTTTCTATTGCTTGTTTGACAACAAACTTTACCTTCAAGATTCAATTTACTACGATATAATATACTGCAAATAAATTTAGAAATTTTCTATTTAAAAAAAAATCACTATTACAAGAAAAGGGACTAATTTTTTATAATTCGAACTGTTTTATTTTTGATAAAAATAAGCGTTTATTATTTCTTTAACGATTTATTTACACGTTCTTAAAATATAATAAAAAAAAAATGTTTTTTTTCTTAATCAAAGTTAGTGGATTAATTTTACTCATAATTCTCTTACAGGAAAATACTAGTAACTTTAATATAACTTCGTTTCATTGACTTTTTTTTTCTTTTTTTTTTTTTTGCTAATTTAAAACTTAAAATTGAGTTACACAAGTTACTTTAAATTTCCATAACTCCAATTTTCCGAGAATTGTAAACATTTACTTTAATAAAAAAATAAAATATATATAATGAAAATTATCATAAATGACAAAGTTTCTACGATATAAAAAAAATAAAGAAGATTTCGAAAACGAAAAATCTCAATAAATACAAAAAAAGCAGTTACAAATCATCTCTATAAGTTATTTTTTTATTTAATTTTCAATAAATAAAAAGTTTAGCAAATATTTTTTATAAACAAGAAGATTTTGTATTTGTTGTAGTTAAAAACTTTTTTTTTTAAACGGAAACAATTTAATGACTCAAAATCAGAACTTAGAATTGGAAATTAATTGATTTGAAATTTAAAAAAAAAAAAAAAAAAAAAAATGCCGACAATAATTTTTTAAAAACAAAACAGACACAAAGTACCTAAAAAATTAAAGAAGGGATCAGAATTTCCAATATGCGACAAAGGATTAAATGTCAATTAAGAAAAATTATATCAAAAACGTTTCTCGCAAACAATGAACTTAAATTTTCATTCAGAGAATATTTTAATTATCTAAAAAAATTTCTGTCAAACCAATGAAAATTTTCTAACGAAAAAATTAAATTTTTCACGAAAATACCAAAAAGATATTTAGTGTTTCAATGAAAAGTGTTTTACTCAAATGAATTAACATAATGAATACATTATTGTAATTCATTTATCATTATTTAATTATTGTGTGAATATAATCAATACTCAATATAATTAATTATCCATTTAGTTAGTAAATACATTTTATTTATGAAAATTAATGTTTATTAAAGTTTATTAGAGTGTAAATTTCTTGAAATGAGTCACACACAATAATAAATAACAAGAAAAATCAAAATTTAAGTTCTGATTTTAATAAAAAAAAAAATCTGAAGTAAGTAATAAAGCTACTTTAAAACTTTTAAATTAAAATGACAAATCATTTTCATTTCAAAAAGTTGCAGTAAACTAATTAAAACTATTTGTCCGAATGTTATCGTTTATTTTCACCTCTCTTTAATAATAATCCTCGAACGTAAAAGATTAAATAAAAAAAAATAAAAGAAATTTTAAATAATAATATAATAATAATAATATTTTTGACTATTTCATATTTTGTAAATAAAATTTTTTTAATAAATTTAAGATTCTATATCCTTCTGTTGGAAAGTAGAAATTTTTCATGATAAAATTTAAATTACTGAGATATATTAGAAAGGTATAAAAATTAATTTCGCTCCAAAATGTTTACCCTTTGCTCTGTAAGCTTGACCAACGTACAGAATTCCCCTTACCTTACTAAAAACCAAAAAAAAAAAAAACTATTTTGCCATAAAGAGGAGGGGAACACTTGTTTATACAAGCGCTCTTCTATAATCCAGCGGTTCATTTAATAAATTACAAAGTTATTTTATGAGCAGAAAGTTTTGAACGTTCATATGAATGAAATATTTTTTTCAATTTATAAATTATTAAAAATTATGATGACCATGTAAAATAAAACAGTAAATTAAACAATTATTAAATTAATAACATCTTTTTAGATATTTTAAACAATATTTTGTAATAAAATTCGTACATAAAGATGTTGCAAAAAAAATTTCGTTCATATATGAACGTTCAAAACTTTTGGCTCATTTTATTTTCTTTGAATGGTTCAAATTTTTGTACACCATAAAAACAGTTATTTGTAAATAGAAAAAAACAAAAATTCCCTGAATTTAAAAATTAACTAATCAAAAATTGATACGTAAATTGTGATAAATCAATTTTAATAATTGACACTAAAATGTTAGTGACGATTTTTTGTTTCGTCAAATGAGAATTCGGATATTTGATAACTTTTCAAATGGAAATTCATAACAAAGGAAAGTTCTAATCTGCTAAAAAAAATTCGTTTAAATTCAAAATTTGTTTATATTCAACTGAATAGAAGTTGTGTTAAGGGATCGTCTATAAATTACGTCACACTTTAAGGAGAAGGGGGGGGGGTAAAAAAAAGGTAAAAAATGTGTGACGTAATTTATGAAAGACCCCTAAAGGAGAATTCGACTATATAAAAAATCTGTTAAAGAAAAATTTCGCCTAATATAAAAACAATTCTATATTAGGACAATTTGTTTTAGTAATAAATATTATTTCTTTATAAAATTCGATATCAATTTTCGTATTCATGCAATTCACACATAGAAGTTTGCTGTGGCAGCGAACTGTTAGCTAACACATAAAATTCCGTTTGCTAATAATAGGGACCGCGAATAATTTTGCTGTGGGATCATAGCAAAATAATTTGGCTGTGGTTACTAATTTTGATAGATTCAACAGCAAACATCAATTAGCATCTGTAAGCAATTCCTCTTTTTCCGCGTGTTCGAAATAATTTGTTTTGTTTTTTTTTTTTTAAATTAGAAATTTACCTGAGGCAGTGGTGGTAATTCCACTGTCATTCGACGTTTCCGCAGAGAGATCGGCAGAACTATGGCTGGTAGGTGTGGGCGCAGGGGTTGGATGTGAATTTGGAGTAGTACTTGGTGGTGGCATTGGACTTCCCTCATGATTAAGAGGCGGTGTTGCTGCTGGTGGATGTGGATGTTGTGGCGGTGGCGGCTGATTGCTCACATGATTTGGAGATGGTGGTGGTGGTCCCATGGAACTTGTTGGTGGGCCCATGTTGCCAATGCCTCCGATTCCCGGAGTACCTGGAGGTACCATAGTTCCAGCTGCGCCAGTACCATATACTTGAGGTGGTCCAGGACTCGGTGGCATGCCAGGTGATACACTATTGAAGCCCATTTTATGCTACAAAATAAAAAAATATTTATTGTCAACTAAAAATACTTGCTTATACAAATTATTCATCTTTTTTAAAACTTTAATCTTTTTTTAAAGTTTAGAATTGCAATGAAAGTTTATAAATTCAGGAACGGTGAACAATCTATATAAGTATAAAAGCATGAATGAAATTTACCGGATAAGGAGGGTATTGCACCATATTGTTTGATCTGGCTGATTGGTATTGGTTGTTCGGCGGCGGTTGTGAATTTGTTGGCGGCGGATAACCCTGAGGAAACTGCATATGTGGCCGTGGAGGAGGATAACTACCCTGTCCAGGATAACCACCAGGTTGATTCGCAGCAGCCCCACCTGCTGCATATCCCATTCCACTACTCATTGGATTAATACCGCCAAGCCCAGTTGGTACTGGTCCTGGTTGAACCACACCAGGACCGCTACTATTCATTTTGTAACTGTGCATGTGCGGTGAAGGTCCAAGAGGTTGTTGATATCCTCCTAATTAAAAGAAAAAAAAAAATTCAAAATTAATCCTGAAATATTTTTTCTACAAATAAATAGTGTGAATTTCATTAAAAAAATATATATATTATTAATTAAATTTTGGATAATTTTCTACCTTGAGTAGCCATGGGGGAGTGACTCATTCGTGCTGGTCCACTTCCTTCTGACTGACTGCTTGACGGTCGTGGAGGCATCTGAACGTTTTGCTGACCTGCTGCAAATAAATTTAAAATAAGTATCGATATTTTAAAAATAATTAATTTGATTAAACAGTTGAAAACTAAAAGCTCAAATTTCAAAGTTTCGATAAATTCCTTTCCACAAAGGGTTAATAAAAAGCTTTTTGTTAAAACATTGCAAAGTATTTATCGTTAAAATTCAATATTACGTAATTGAAAATTTACCATTTATATCAAAAATCAAAATTATCTAAAGATATAAAAAAATTCTATTCTAACTAATATTTCAATGACGGAAAAATGAAATAAAATTTGGTGTACTTATTTGTTACTAATTCGAAATAAAAAATAAAGTGGAAATTTTAATTTAATTCTCAGAATTTTGAACTATTTTAACAAAAATTTACAATTTTTCATACATTCTGTAAACAATTGAGCACCCAATGAGAAATTTACCATTGGCTAAACATTGGACCAATATTGGAAGCCAATAATTCGTCAAGACTCATATTGTAAAATCATTTGCAAACGAAAGTAGTAGACTATTGGCTGAATATTGGACCAATATTGGTTTACTCTTGGCAATTTCCAACTGTGCACCTTGATACAAGAAACCAGAAATATAGCCTATTGAAATTAAATGCACTATGCCTGGTTATTGCATCAAGGTACTCAATTAGAAATGATAATTTTACCAAGCTATCAATAAAGTATCAATATTTAACAAAATTCTTGTACTTTTTTTCGTTTTTTTTTAATTTCTCCATAATAAACGTAACTTTAAAAATAAGTAATTTAAATGTTAAAAATTTTGAAATATAAAAATATAAAAAATAATATTATTTTACACTTACCAACAGCAGGGGACATCGAGCGAGAACCTGTGGACCCTGTAGGCGAAGGGGTAGGCCTCATCCCCTGGGAATTTGGTGTTCCTGGACCAGCAGGTCCATTCGAACTATCGTTACTATTTTGGCCAGATAATTCCTGAAATTAAAATAAGAGATAATTATAAATTACAATTTTTCAATTAATTCAACAAAAAAAAAAAAAATGTATAAAATTATATAAATGTAAATTAAAACTGATTTCAAAATATTTGTTTAGTACACATTAAAAAAAGGTAAATTAAATTGGTTGATTGTCCCTCCACGTGTGAAATCTATTTAAAAACATAAATTATGTAATTATTATCGACGTGTGTCATAAATGATTACAAATACCTTGTTTATTTTTCTTTTTTTGGTGTGATATCAATAAATCTCACGACCTACATTAACTAGTTAATAGCTAATCTAAACACATACAATATATTTAACTAAATTTTTAAAATTTAGATATATATGTTTTAAAAGAAAGAAAAATTTACTTTCATTAAAAATATATATTTTTTTTAAACCATGATACATGTATCAGATTAAAAAAAAACTACGTTGGAAATTAAATATCGTCATTTTAATTAAAGAAACTAAATTTTAAAAAAATGTATTTTTCATCAACTGATTTTCATTTAAATTATTTATCATCTAATTTAAAAAAAAAATAATAAATAAAGTAAAACTATTTCTGATTGAAATTTTTTTTTTTTTTATTAACACTTTAAAAACAAATATAAATGAATAAAAATAACGTGTTTCAAATGCAACAAGTACAAAATTTTATTCCAGTTGATAAACTGCAATAGCTGCAAAATTGTAGTCGGTGAATATAGCAGTTATTTGATAGCCACAGCACTTTAACTCACAGAAAATTATGAACAAAAGAAATAGTTTTTAAAGCGAAAATGAATTTTTTTTTTAAACTTAAATAATAATTTACAAATTAAAGACATTTCATTGTTTATTAAAATATTCAATTAAGATTTAAATTTAATGATATTGTATTTTAATTTACAATTAAATTAATAAAAAAAAGTAAATATACTTTCTTTTTCTTTCATCACATGTTATCTATTAGTTTAAATTTTCGAATTTAGAACCATTGGAGATAGTTTCTAGTTGCACAATATTACAAAATAGCCTACAATTATTAAAATCCTTAAAATATTGTATTTTTTTTATAATTAATTTTTGTTGAAGAATTGTATTTGAATTAAATTAAAAATACATTCATTTAACAAAAATTTATTTAGATTTAAGAATATAATTTTTATTTATTAATAATAATTAACATTGTTTGATCACAAAATTTTTTTCCTTTTGTGATCATTATTTGTGAATTTTCTCAAGATAAATTTTAATTCGTGGGAAATAATTATTTTTCGCACAAACTATTAAAGCACTGATATACGTATATACTTAATTGAGTTTATGAGAAAAGTACAATAATTTATTTTAAAAAATAATAAACATTTTACTCTCATAATATCGTTTAATTTAAGTAATTTAGAACTAAACATATTTTAATAACTCTATTTTCTAATAATAATATAGTAATAGTTTCTTCGTTTTGTAACGTTTTTAGGTACTTACAGTACTCATTTTTGGAGTCTCATCATTCTTGTTAAAATAATATTTTACGGAAAATGAAAATTCTTTTATAATGCATTTCTTCATTAAAATGTATTTTCAATGTAAGGATTTTCTTTAAATTTGTTTTTTTAAAGGTGAAATAATATATTTTCAAATAAAGCACACTATTTGCATTATAGTGAACAAAAATACAAAATTAAAAAATGAAAATTAACTAAGGTAGCATTTTTTTTTTATAGAGAAAGAATTTTTCTCCCCCTCTTAACCTATAAACGCCATGTAAAAAAAAAACAAGAAAATAATATCCTTCCAAGGAGAACCATTATATATACATTTTTGACAAGCATACGTCAGCCAGTAGGAATTTAGGAAATATTCAATTTTTATTAGCTAGAATATACCAACTAATATCTAAAAAAAACATCAAAATTTCATCGAGGAATTTAGAGAAGATGACGTGACTAGTAAAATACAGTATAATATTGACGTGAAACATAAAGGAGCGAACACAGTGGAGATACGTACTAGAACTCAACTGATATGGTCCGGTGGTTGTTGGGAGGAATATCCTATCCTAGGTAGAATGTGATCCCATAAGTTTATTCGATGCATCCCGACCACGAGAATAATAACACAACACGCGTCATGTACGATTTTACACGCGCTCAATGCTCATGGTTATGTGTGTTTGTATATGTGTGTATGTTAGCCCACACACTTCATACGTGTCGTCGCGGTTATATACACATTGGAAAAAAAAACACTACAGTACACTACGCCCATCGGCCACGATCACGCACTTTCAAAAACATTTTTCCGGCAATCTGGCCAAACAGAATGTTGAGAAAATTTCATTAATTAAACTAACAAGAATGTCCTTAAATTATTAGTTACATGAGAAAATTCAATGTTCTTTCACAATATTTTTCATCGTCGATTTCGACGCTAGTCTAACTCGAATCCCACTTGTGCGCAAAGCAGAGTCACTTTGGTTCACTTTGCTGTTTCACTTTGGATCCTATGGCATGTTGCACAAACGAGGCCGCGACAGACACGTCGAGCACTTTGAGAATTTAATGCGTCACTTATCAAAACGGTAATTTTTCCCTATTGTGAATAGAAGATTACTTGGAAATCAAGCTTAGCTTGAAGATCGAAGTCTGTTTTTCACGGACTTGGGGCTTTTGGATTTCGGTATTTCGCGTCTAGCACAGGCTCACGGAGGGCGTTCTTTCGTGGCGCGGCAAGCGTTCGGACATTTCCGTTGATCCTCGGCTCGATATCCGTGTTACGAAGTAAATCCAGAATTCCAACCGCGTACATTCAAAACTCACAGTTGAGATGTATTCGAATCGTTGTGTAGTGTGCCCTTCGCCTCTTGAACACTGTCCTCAATTTCCCATTCTAACGCAACTGCGCATGCACTGACTACGCAATTTCATTGGCTCTTAAAAGCGCGCGTGATTTAATAATAAAAACACAAGATTTTGACATTTCTTAATAGATAACACAACCCCTAAGTAATAAAAATATATTTAACCTATTAGATAAATAATTTACTAATCTAAAAATAATGTGTATTTAATTTTCATTTATTAAAATAGGTTTCTTATCAAAATAAATGTAAATAAAAACGCATTTGTATTTTTAAATATACCGCCATCGGCAGCCAATGATAGCTTAGAAACAACGCATGCGCAAAGTTGGCTACCCTGATCTCAAGTTCTTACTTTTTTTTTTGAAATTTTTTTCACTACTTCCATTAATCTTTATGACGTTTATCTACATTTTGTCGATTTAATATTTCTACATTAATACGTGAGCGTTTCTTTGTATTTTACTTGTGATTAAATGACTAGTCAAGCAAATATAATATTCGAAACTCAAGGAAGTGACTGACTGCAATATAAATCAATAAAAATTAAATCCCTGATATTTTCACCATTATCGTATACTCTAAAGTAAAACCAATTTTCACAATTTTTTTTTTTAACAATTTTGACAACTGCAAAAGATGAGATCAATAAATCAGATAAATCTCTATAGCAAAAATCAAACTTACTGTATATCAGTGATATTTGACAGATGCAATCAAAGATAGTCTCTGATGAATAAAAAACAAATAATGTGAAATAATTTTCACTATTATATATGTATGGGCGTGTAACAAAAAACTTAATGGTAAACAATATGGTTTGTTGTATATAGAAAATTCCCGTCAGTAAAGTCAAATTGAAAAAGCTCCTGTTTTTCAAGTTGCTCTCTAACAAAACAGACAAATAACTCCTGCGAAGTAAATTATAGGATTGCATGAGTGGCAAAATTTATCTACAGTACAAACAGTGGCGCCTTCGCGGCTGATCACGTGACTGTTTCACACGAGTCGTAAAACCTCTTGAAAAGTGTCACGTTGTCACGTGGACAGCCAAGAGATCCCAAACAGAATATCACGTTTATATAGTAGAGAAGGCAAAGGACAGAACGAGTTGGAGGAAAAACTCGAACCGACGTAATTTTCCGCTTGAAATAAAATTCTCGCAACAGCAAAATACAATTTTTCTCATGAAACAATAGAAAAAAAAAATTACCCGACAAAAATAGTTTACTGACACATTAATTTTTATACTTTATATTATTAAAAAAAAAAAAAAAAATTGAAAACAATGCAAAGAGGGAACTGAATTTTTGACAAATTTTGTATTTAAAAAGTATAGTAACAATTATTTAAATAAATATCTCTTTCAACAATATATTCCATTTGATCTCAAGTATTGATTTGTCGAATTCTCGAATATACCATGTTGGCTTTCCTGTTACCAATGAAAATTTCTAATCAAGTAACGAGGCGAAAATGTAATTTTCACACAGCCAAGAACCTATATTGAATTATTTTCGTGCTCGAGAAAGTTATAAGTAGCTTTAAATTATTCGTTTAATTATTCCTGACAGAAAATAAGTGAGAGATAGATGTTACATTGCAAATCCCATTCTCTATTATACGTATATATATGTATGTTTGAAAAGCTCGATTGTGAGTGAACAGAAGTCACTGTTGGGAAATGGAATATTGCATTTATCAACATGATACACGTTTTGAAAGCATATTCAGAAAGTATATAACCGACCAACACAGCTTGACAGCATGGCAGCATATCCACAGCAAAATGTGCCAAACCGAATATAGCCGAAGGAGCGAACGAAAGGTCAAGGAGTGGGGAAAAGCCGTCAACTTTCTCCCCACTCTCAATTGAAAAGAATCGCGCGCAACTGCTTCGCTCATGCACAAAATACAGCGCTGGCTACATGAATATTTGTGCCCTAGGTGAAACATTGATTCCCAACCTTGCTGCTTATATTTTTCATAGCAAGAGAGAGAGAGAGAGAGAGAGAGAGAGAGAGAGAGAGAGAGAGAGAGAGAGAGAGAAATAGAGGGAAAAAAATAATCCCCAACCCCACCACCATCATCATCAGAAAAAAAGTATTTCATTAGTCAAACAAACATGTAACTGAATTTGAATAGACGGAAAAAAAGTCTAACGTTTAGAGGCGCAAAAACATTATTCCGTCGGATCGATACAATATTTTGTTTTTGAATTTTTAACGCAAGATAAATAATTATTAGACAATATCCAGATAAGTAAAATAAAATAATAAAACAACATTTAGATGCAGAATAAAACATAAATCATATTTTTCATTAAACGAATAATTGTGGAATTTACTTTCAAAAATATTTTTCAATTATTCACCGAGTGTCTATTAATTAAAGAAATTTAGACTTATTAAATGAATTCACGATAGAAAATACGAAAGAATTTGAAATATTTATTCATTAAATCCGAGCTTGATTTCAAACTTTGAATATTATTCTTGCCATCAAAATAAAAATTAATTCTCGTAAAAAAATATTAATAACAAAAAAAAATAAATATGAATGCAGAGGTAAACGAAGCTTTCAAAAATGAGACATAAATTATTGATTTGGACTTAAAATTTTCAGCCGAAATTAACATTGAAAAAAAATATATTCATTTCAAATAATCGATTACTTGACTATTATCATATAAATATTTGTATTTTAAACAAATGCCATTTATTTGATTTTTCAAGTAATCAATTATTTCAATTAAACACAGTTTTTTCTGTGAAGGAAAAAAAATATAAAAATGTTTGTATAAAATACAGTAATAAAAATTAATAATAAATTATTAGCATATACCTAATATAAATATTCATTCATTAGTCTCGGACAACTGAGTCTTAGGTACCAATTAACAATTTATAATTTACGTATACAATTTATATAAATAACGTATTGGTTAATTAAATACAGTGTAATTTAATTGATATGAAAATTAATTGATTTTTACTGAAATTCTGTGTCATGAACTTTTCTATCTTTAGTTTTTTACTTGAAAAAATTTACAATAAAATTAAAAAACCAAAGTGACCTACATCTTAATATAAAATTTCGTGAATAACAAATGTATTCCAAATTAAGTAATAATTGAGTTTTGTTCTCGTTTCAAATGTGTATAAATAACGTGAAATACATATTTTAATTCAGTAATCATAATGTGAACTTATAAAAAGAATCTATTAATGCACTTTATTATTTAATAAAAAAAAAGAATACAGTTTTCACTTTGAGGAATATTAAAACTTTTTCAAAGATGATAAAAAAAAAGAAAAAAAAGTTTAAGCACGTTGTAGAATTTTCAAACAGGTATACTAATAGATGTTTAAGGAAGCTTAAACATTTGTCAATATAGAAAAATTAATCTTTTTCATGAGTATTTGAAAAATTGTAATATTAAAATGCATTTCATAAGTTTAAAAAGAAATTTTATGTTTCGTTAAAAAAAATTACTAAAAGAAATTTCCATATTTAGATTGAATGTTACATTATTTTACAAATAACCATATTTTGAAATGGAATTTTTATAACTAAAAATTTTTTAGAAAATAGTAAAAGTTTCATAGGGATAAAAAATATTTAAAAAATTAAAGAGGCGAAATTATAATTTAATATCTAAAACTTTCGACTATAATAATAAACGCGCAGCAGAGGCTTAAACGTTCGCCAGGATACAAAAATCGATAACAGGAGACTATTCGAAAATCCTCAACTTCATCTATTTAAAAATGTTCTAATCAAATATTAAATATTTCATTGAATATTAATTAAATTTTTCACAATTATCTCTTTTACTTCAACTAGAATTATTTATTTCCATATTGTGAAATTAATTTTTAATTTTATATATCGCGTAGAATTTTATATATAAATTCATAACTGTTCTGTTATTTCAATTTTAATTCACAGTTCTACAATTTTTCTCTCATAACTCATCTAATTATTTTATAGTTTTTTTTTATTTTAACATTTAATCGATAACCATACAGAAAACACAGAGAGAAAAAAATTAAATTCCGTAAAAAAGCTAAGATATTCTACTTTTTTTTTTTTTTTTGCTATATAAACTAAAACTAGAGAAACGATCGATTTAACAGTAAATATAAATCTCAACGCAAAGATGAAGTTTAAATATTCAATACAACAAAACTCGATAACATGAAAGTATATAGTTTATATATTCGGAAAATTAGAAATTGTTCTCAACTTTTCATTCACATCAAAATATTCCTTTTCTTATTCTCCAAAAACATAAATATTTAAATTCGAAAATTTCCACCTTTTCATATATATACATAAATTCCCCTTTAAAATTCACACCTTTAATTCTCCGACAATTTCCCTCTATTAATCCCGTCCCCTCGGCAACTTGGAAAAATACGAAAAAGTTAAGTGTTCCGTGTTAATTGGAAAAAGAGAGGGGAAAAAAGAAATGAGAAAAAATTTTCAGAAAATTGTTATAGAAATGTATATACATAAGTATAATATATATATATATATATATATATTAGGGAGAGAGAGAGAAAAAAAAAGTTACAGAAACTAGAGAATCGATCGGAAATCTGAAGCGTTGAAAAACTGGAAATTCTGCTAGATTTTCTCTCTCTCTCTTTCTCTATCACTATAGTCACAACGAGCAAGCGAGGAAAATATTTTTGGAACCCCTTAATATCGGGACTCCAGAGTTTGGTACGCTTGCGCCGGCCCTTAATCCGGCCATGACGGTACCAACGTTGCCTGCCATGCCTTCTCCTGCCTCTCTCCCTCTCTTTCACTCATACTAACCTATACATACTCTTGTGCCCATGTGCAATGAGCGCATATAGCAATGAGGAGAGTCAGAAGAGAGCGGAGGGAACACCACGCTAATATCTGGGGCTCCGGCGGCCGCGCGACTCGCCCCCTAATCGAACATGTCGCCTATTCCCCTACCGTCCCTCCCTCAACTCCCCCAATCTACAACCACACATACACCTTCTATCTCTCTCTTTTCTCGCTTCTACAACCACTCCTTTCCTTTTTCTCGTCCGATCAAAACCACCCCATTTCTTATTCTCTATTCTCTGTTTTCAACTTTCTCTCTCTTTCTCTATTCTACTCTTCTTTTTTTTTGCAATTTTATTTTAAAACCGTCAACGACAAAAGAAATTAATGTTTTCAAACGTCACATAGAAAAATGCTTCTTATTCTCCAATTCAAAAAAAAAAAAAAAGTAAAACATTACACCTCTCGAAAAAATTCAACTTCCAAAATTTGAAAATTTAAAAAACATCACATTCACCCTTCTGTATGAAACAACTTTTCTAAATAAATCATAATTTTCATTCTCGGTAAAATGAAAAAATATATTTTCTCATTATTTTAATTAGTAAAATAATTAAACTTTTTTTAAAAATTGAAATTTTTCTTCCATTTCGTGAAACATTGAGAAAATTTTTAAATTAACATTTTTATTAATTAAATGCATTAAATTTAGTAAAATCACAGAAAAATAAAAGGCATTAAAATAAGTTTATTTTAATACCGAAATGGATTAAAATAAGCAAAATTGGATTCAAATAATAAGCGTTGCAGCTTATTTTAATGCCTTTTAATTTTCTGTGATAAAATATAAAAAAAATAATTGCAAAAAAAATTAAAATATTTGCAAAATTCATCTATAAATCGTGTAACAATAAAGAAAATTCACTAAATAATTTCATAGATAATGTTGAAATGACCGTTTTTCAATGCAACATACTTAAGCTTGTTTTGCATTTTTAATTAGGCAATGGTGAACCACGCGGCTTTAGATATACATACATATACAATACGCGTGCTAACCTTACACGCGTTTTAGGCGATTTTAGGTTAGGTCTCAGAGTCCAATATGTACAACAACGATTACCAATACCAGGCACGATAAGAGAGATTGCATATGTGTTTGAGAAACACAATCGTTTCCGCCACTACTTGTTACTTGTTACTACATATCTAACTCGTGACACGGAAACGTAAATTCGTTTTTCATGTTTTTTTTTTTTCAAAATCATGTTCCGAAATATATATATATACCTATATTATTTTTCAAATAAAATAGAAATTTAATTATTCTACTTTTTCCAAAAAATAATTAACCAATTTTTATATTGTTCTTGACACAAATATATAACATATTATTCCTCTGTAAAGGGTGAAAATTTTCATTCTTTTTTTGCAATAGCGTTTCTCCTTTTTTTTCCTTTATTAATCCTTTGATTGTTTTCTTAAAATTAAATCAACTAAAATTTTGAAATTTAGAGAATTTTAAAAAATATCCCCTTCTAGGACTAATTTTATGCAACAAGAAAATATTTCACGAATTACTTATCATTCAAAAAATGTAGGTTATTTTTATCAGTATTATAATTATTTATTATATTGTTTAGTACAGAAGATGTAAAAATGCCCTTCTGGATTAATATTTTGATTGTAATATTTTTTAATTTTCAATTGATTTGAAATTATTTAATTTTCTTTTATTTTTAATTAAATTTGATTTCCTAATTAACTTTTCAAACGATTTTTTTTATATATTCGCTATTTTGAATTCAAAAGTTGTTTAAATTTTTATAACAAAAAAAAAAAATTGCCAATTCTTTTTCTAAATAACTTACTAATTAATGTAAAATTATGCTTACCCCTGAATCAATTCCTTGAGTATTTGGAGTTGTTGATCGTTGCTGCATACTATGAAAATTCTGAAATAAAAAATAAAAACAAATTAGTTTCAAAATATACACAATTTTATGTATTTCAACAACTATTTGTTTTTATTTATTTATTCGTCGAAAGTTTAATACAAAATTTAATTCATTTAAAATTGAATGAGAAATTAAAAACCAATATTGTAATTTAATATAATTAACTAAATTTGATTCAAATTTGTAAGCTTGCATTTATGAAACTATTGAATGAAAAGAAGAAGACAAAAAAAACACGAAACGATATCATCAATGAATAAACTATATGTATATCATTAATCAAAGACAAACTTAAATACAAAAATAAATTGTAATTAACGATTCTAAACTCCGTGAATTTGAAAGCATCCAATTTTTAAGCATTCTGATGAATAAAGCTTAAGAGTCAAAAGCCTTCGAATACAAAAGCGAACAAATTTAAAAGCCTTTGAATAGAAAGACAAACAAATGTGTACTCTGCACACAAATTTTATAACAGAATTTAGATTATACTGATTGTATCTGCGTACTCAGTGATTTTAAATTATGCACAGTTTTTAATGAAATTTCAAACAATTAATAATTTAAACAAATAAAACAACATTTTATGGAATAATTTGACTTTTCTTCTGTTTCTTACTTTGTCTATGCTTTGCAATTTTATCAAATAAAATTCATTATTTTCTTTTAACATGATAAAAAATCGTAATACAAAATAAATTAAATTTTTTTCCACTAATAATAATAGTAATAATAACAATAACAAAGAATTTATTCACAAGTTAACAATATCCTGACTAAAAATTACATTACGTATAGTTAATTTTTTTAAAAACAGTTTTTTAAAAATAGAAATCGTGTAAAAAAAACATAAATATTGTAATTTTAGTTTCAACAAAAACGTATCAAAATCATGTTTAAATAATAATTACTTTTCAAAAAAAAGTTTCTTTTTACTAAACGAAGTGAACGAAATTTTCTTTATTTTCCTTTTTAATCAAAATTGTCATTAGAATATTGAATCATGTATCTCGTCTTGTTTTTTTTTTATATGTAATTTACAATTATACCAAAATTTTTACTAAATAGATAAAATTTAATTGATTTGTTTCATTAAAATTTAAGTTACTTTCTTTCAATACAAATAAAAAAATCAAGTTTCCCTTCAATCTTCAATTATAAAATAATTTACAAATATTTGAAGCAAGGCAAAAAAAAAAGTTGCTTTCATTACAATTTTTGGTCAATTAACAAATAAAATTCAAAATTCTGTCTGTCTCTAAAATTAAAATTTCTTATGACATTTTTGCAAATTTTTCATTTAGTTACTCTCTGAATCTAATAACTAATTTAATAACAAAAATTTAGTTACTAATTCAAACAGTAATATTCTTTCTAAGCAATTATATTAAAAATAACTCAATTCATTTTTAGGTTATTCCAAAATAACGTAAATTTTAGTAAATTTCTATTAAGAAATATAATTAATAAAATTTGACTAATTTTAAGTTTTTTCAACTGATAATTAGTAATTTTTCACTAATTTCTAAAAACAAAAAGTCAATTAATATTTTACAAATAATTTAGTTATTTTTTAAACTAATTTAGATTTAGAGAGTAGATTCAAATTAATTCTTAATAATCGTGAAATTACCAAATATAATAGTAAATTCGTACCTGTGGTTGACCACTTGGTTGTGGCTGCGGCGACGCAGAAGGAGGTGGTGCTGGAGATTGTGAAAGAGCACGTTGTGGAGACTGACTGGATGGGCTGGTTTGATTTGTTGGTGGAGGTGGTGGATTTGGTGGTCCAGCTTGATTCCATCCTCGTTGATCAGCATATATACTTGAAGGGTGTCCACCCTGGGCATATGAGTTTATCTAAAAAAATTTATTTAATTAATTTTTTTGTCATTAAAACAAAAAAAATTTTTTTTTTTTAATATAGTATTTAACATTTTTGTTACCTGGTGATGACCATAGGGTGAGTGTGGCCTTGCTGGCGAAGAATAACGTTGAGAGTACGGTTGATATGGCATGGGAGTTGGAGAAGGACCTCCTGGTCCAGGGTGTAACCGTGGTGAACCCTTATGAAAAAAAAGATAAACGACATTAATTTACAATTAAAAAATAACATCCAATTTACCAATTCAGTTGAAATTTAATTCATCTTAATTAACCTACATTTATTATAAAACAAACGTTAAAACTTGTTTAAAAATTGAAAATCATTGTTTTCTTTTTCCAAAATTATTCAACTCTTTGGAAATTGATGATTTCTTTATAATAAAAATAATAATAGATATTTTCAATAAATATTTTAGAGTATTTATTGTTTAATTAAGCAATTAAATTCTCAATAAAGCACATGTTTATTGGATATCGATATTTTTTTTCAAGGGTATTTTCATCTCTTTTCATTCTACAAACATTCATTAATTATTTTAATACAATCTTTTTGATACAAAACAATTAATTTTAATAATTTTGTAATATTCATAATCATTAGTATTTATTATGTGAAATATCAAATGAATAGTTAACGAATTAAGTAATTTTCAAGTTAGCCAAAGTTAGCATATAATCAATATTCAAAGGAATTATTTTAAGGTTAGGTTCACACACAAGCGGAAAAAAAACAACAGAATTCCGAGTTTATGTGCGAATTTGAAAAATGAAAAGAAAAACGCTTATTTTATTTTTCACAATACACAATGCTTTTATCGAAAAAAATAAATAAGTGTAATTTTGAAATAAAAGTTCATTTGAAAAATCAATTGTTTGTTAATTTTTTTTTAAAAATATCTGGAAACATTTTATAATAATTTAATATTATAACTTATAATGAAAATTATTTATTCAACGTGATATAGACAAAAAAAATGTTTATAATTGTGCACTAATGTGATTTAAATAATAATTTATAAGCATAGTTAAGTAATAATTAATAACTACATGTGAAAAATAAGAAACGAAATTATTTTTTCATTATTTTAGTTTAGTTATTAATTATTATTAATTTTAGTTAAAATGTGTTTTAATTTCAATTACTCTTAAACTTAGTTAATAATTTTGACTAAAAATTATTTAATTATATATGGTATATTCGTTTTCGAAAGAGAAAACAATTGTTATTTAATTTTTCACCAACAAATTGAAATCTAAAAATGCATTTTCAAATAAAAACTTTTAACATTTTAACGGTTAAAATAAACCGCATCAATAATTCTATTCATTAAATATTTTCACTGAAGCCTATCATTGTTTTTCATTTTCAAAAACTTTCTCCTTCTCCTTCTCCTTCTTTTTTTTTTTTTTTTTTGATAAAATGATTTTCATTTTTACAACACACACACAATAATATCGCAAGATCAGACAACATAAAGACAATAACAAAGAAATAAATATCAATAATAGGAAAAGGATCAAATAAAGCAAAAACAAATACAAAAAAGGAACATTTACAATTAATTTATCATAAAATGTAAAATTATGTTTGAATAAATAAAAACATGAAACGATGATTACATAGGAAATTGATAATAAAAAGTTGAATTTCGAAGAAGAAAAAAAGAGAGAAATATTTTACTAAATGAAAATGAATGAAAAATTACCGTTTGCGGAGGTCGTTGTCCAGGTTGTGGATAAACAGGAGGTACGACTGGGGGTCGCTGCATAGGCCAGGGCTGCTGATAGGACTCGGGTCCAATTCCTGGATAATTGGAGTGAAACCGATGCATGGGGCTAGATGCCTGGAGCAATTGATTAAGCGTAGGGGTTGGGCCAGTTGCCTGTGATATACTCTGCCCCGAGAGGAACCTTGGTTGTCCCGGGAATGCTCCGGGGCCGGCGCCTATGTGAGCAAGTCGTGGTTCTATCTTGGAAACGGAATAATGTTCTTCCATTTCGCTTTGATGATGAACACCTCGCTCGGGTTCATTGGGCATTTGTTTACCGTAATCGGGGGCGGTTTGTTTGCCGGGATAATCGACGTGTTGTTTCGAGAACGAATCGTTGCTCTTATTTGATGCATACTCATCGGAGTAATCGCGGTTGGGTGCAAAGGGATGATTTGGATGATTTCCCGGATGTCCAGGACCTGAGGCGTCGTTGACGGACTGCTGTTGCTGATCCTGGGGATTATTCTGTTGGGGTTCACGGGGAGATTTGACCTCGGCGGCGGTGTGTCCGCCAATGTCCTCACGGTATTGACTCATCTCGAAACCTGAGTCCGCGCGCTTCACATAGTTCAGCAGCTGGGCCGCGCCCCGGGTGGCTGTTTTATCGGCCGGCTCCTGATCCAGCTGCTGTTTTCCACTAGCACTTGAACTATTCGCAACGACTTGAGGACGTTTTTGTATGCATTTTACAGACTCACTTAAATTCACATCGTTTTGTTGGCTCTCGGCTTGTGTCGCAGCCATGTTCTTTCACGGAGCCATCCTTTCGTAAGTTGGCCAATCGCGGCGGTGCCTACCGCGCGTACAGTGCGTGCACCGATCCAAATACGTTGATTGGTCCAAACTTCCGATTTAACACAATTTCTGTCCACCACATTATTCATTAAGAACGTAGGAAGACCAAATATAACGTGACCGACGGTAATTTTTCACATTTTTTCGAGCAGAAACGATAATATTTTACTTTAAACAGGGACGTCAAAGTAGCGTCGCATAATGTACGCCATCTTGTGGTCGCTGATATTAACCTTGAATTACGCAGGTTCATAAGATGGGCAACTCGAGGGAAAAAGCTTTACATGGTGAATGCAGCGCAATCTTTTGATCGTTATATGAAACTTGAAATTGGAAAAAAAGACGAAATTCCTTTATGCGATTGGTAGAATAGCTAATATATTATAGACATGTTCCTTGTAGCCAATTAAATTTATCAATCTTGACAGAATTCACAAAATTCTTTTGTTGCAAAGTTTCAAAAATTTACTTTACTATTTTTAATGAACTAAAATTTTATCACAACAATGAATAACTGACATAAACTATTTCAGGAACACGAATATATTCTTATTTTATACGAGTTTTAACTTAATTAGTGCGATATATTATTACAAAACTCACGAAAATTACAAAATCTTTTACTTTTTTGATTAAATTCAATTTGATTTTTTATTTCACATACCATTATGTTTATAATTTATTTGAAAAAACAGGCTCTCTTCAGGCACAATATTTCTTGTTGACTATAAACTTTTTTTTATAAATAACATATATGATAGAAAAATGAAAGAGAACAAAAAAAAATTGCCAGGCTATGTAACTAATTTACGGTTAGGATTTATCTGACCAATAAGAAGGCATTGCAAAAAATCGCTAGTCACTGGTTGGCTGAGCATTCGTTTTTCCCCCTACTGAAGTTTATAGAACTTCCGTGATGGCGCCACTCGCAGCGGGAAAATTTAAATTTACTAATAGTATTGAAAAATAAATTTTATCAAAAAATTTATAATTATTTAAATAAAAATACAAATAGTTAATATTTTATAATTTAAATTTAAAAAAAACTTTTAACTAAAATATAATATACTTTTTTTTCTACATGGAATTAAATAACCTATTATTAGTTTCTATTATGATATACACTCATGAACTTTTATTCCTTGAAATATATTTACAATAATAATTATTACATTATTATTCCTAACATTACATTTACCACGCATGACCAGAAGTATTTATTTGATGCTTAAAAAACTCGTGTTTTGTCGCTAACAAGGAGTTGAAAACGGCAAGACTCCTTTAAATTACAAACTATAATTAATTAACTATATTCTCCTGACTTGTGATGTTCTCTTACTAACTTTAAATCTTAGCCAGTAAAGTCGTAATTAATAGAAGATTTTGATTTTAACGGAGTTGGACTCAATTTATTATTATTCTTATTGTTATCTTCTCACAAGATTAAATATTTTATATTAATTCATTATTTTCTCCTCACGAATTTCATTAATTAATTTATTATTCTTTGCTCTTGAATTTAAATATTTTATTTTAAATTATCCTATAACAATTAATACCTAGAATTTTTTGTTTTGTTTTAATGTTTTATTCTTTTTTTTCAGCTATTATGCGAGAGAAAATTTTATTATCAAAAAGGAAATATTCGTCACTTTTAAATCGAAGTGTGACCGAGTTCAAAAAAAATTTCTTTTTTGGCTCGAGTGTAAAAATACCTCCGCTAAGTGTTATTTTTTCATTTTTTTTTTTTTTTTTTTAATCGTTTTATAAAGCGATTCCCTTTACGTGATATTTCACTCGTGTAAAGTGCAGTCTCATCGTGTTGCCCATCGAAAAAAAAGACGTGCCATCGCTAAATATCGAAGTCGAATTATTGTAATATGCGATTCGGCGTTAAATTTGTCACTGTAGATTTTTATAAAATATACATTATTTTTCTTTCTCTTTCTTTTTTGTTCTATAACATAAATGCTCAGACAAATGCAAATCCGAAATGCAAATTATACGAGGGGGCTTTTTAATAATTTTACAATTAAACGTAAAATATTTTTTTTTGACTTTTTCATTTTCTTTGTAACAAATATACTTTTTTTGAATAAATCAAATACCTACTAATAACACAAAAATGTAGTTGAATCTACATTTACAATTAAAATACATTTAATTGAAATTGAAATATCTACAACTATTTTTTTTCTAAATAGAAATAAATTAAAGCAATTATTATTTAATAATATTAAAGAAAACGAAGACATTTCTTTTTTAATTAATTCGTCGGATTGTCATGCGTTTGTATATACTATATATAACAGAATCCTGACATTATAAATGTATAGTCTCTATTTATGAAAAAAAAATAATATTTCGTTTCATAAAGTAATGAGGGAATTTTTTACAATTAATTTACTTTTTTGTTTTTAAATAAAATATCGCTATATGTCAATTATTATTTCTTAAACGTCCTTAAAGACGTTCATTTTTCTCACTCTTTGACTGTTTTTTTTTTCTCTACAGAAATTCTGACGATGGGAGCAAGGCACAAATTTCTAAAATTACTTTTTAAATACGCATCCATTTATAGATGGAGAAAATTCCACACAATTCACTACGATTTCACGCAACTTCACACTTATTATTATTATTATTTTTTTTTAATGTATTCTCCGAAGATAAATTGTTTGTGTAAAAATGTTTTTGTTTTTTTTTTTTTAGTGAAAATGCGTTTCAAATAATTTCATTATAACAATGATTAAATTGACAAGAAAAATACAGAACCTTGTAGACTGTACAATATAAACTTTCTAAGCACTTTAAAGACATATACGAAAGTTTTTTTTTTGTTTTCTCATTTAATTTTTTTTGCTTTCATAAAATCGCACAGACCACAAGGGTGCAGAGTTTTAAAATGTTTAAATGTTAAATATTGTAAAAATGACTGCACCTTAGTTTTATATATCTTAAATGCTGTAAAAGTTACGTGCAAAAGCACCGAAATTGCAAAATCGTGGATTAAAAACATTACTCTTGTTTTCTAATGATAATAAATCACACTGGGAATCGAAAATTTACCCATGATCACATCACTATGAAAAAATGTGAATTGGGTGACAATTTTATTCTATTTTTTTTCTTTATAAACGTGTTGTATACACAAATACAAAAACACATGGAGCAAAACTACTCTGATATGATTCATTTTTTTCCAAAACTTATAATCAGATTTATGTAAGATTTTCTCTTTCTTCTTGATATTTTTGTTCTTTTTGGTGAAGTTTCAATGAAAGAAAAAAAAAGTTTTGTTACTCGTCATTTGGAATAGTAGAAATCTTTTTTTTTTTAAGAAAAAACTCCCAATGAAAGGATTTATGCATAAAAAAAGAAATATTAACTGAAATTAACTTTTCGTTATTGACGTTTAACGGAAAGTAATCTCAGAAAACTATTGGTAATAAAATTAATGACATTATTAAGTATATATAATAAAACTACAAAATTGTGCATTAATTACGATGATACATCGAATTGAAATGGCTGAATTCTCTTGTGACTGAAAGAGAATATTAAAATGAAGATAGAAATCTCATTTTTCAATCATTTCTCAATTATTGTGTGTGCGATCTAGAAATACATTATCTAAATGGGCGTTTTTTTTTCATTGCCTTGTTTTTTTTGTGTGAATTAATAATGGTCCTCATTTTTTTTTTTTTCTCAAACTGTAACTATTTCGCATAATTAATTTATATATTAAATGTAAAAAAAAATTGAAAAAAAAATTATATATGGTAAAAGTTTCTTACTCGTCATATAGGGGGAGAGGCAGCAAAATCTTCACCAGTAAATCGATCCGGTATTTGAAGTTTTTCCTCCATCAGAAAATTTTAGGATATCTCACCAAATACAAGACAAAACGTACGCGAACATATTGTAGTGAATATAACTAGACGTTATAAAAAATAAATGAAGGACTAGGAATCGTAATGGATCCTGTTGGATCTTTGAACCTTCAGTTTGATTAGTTCCAAGAAATGTTCCGTGTTTATAAAAATTTTCTAAAAGACTTTCTTTTTCAACCCAACGATCGTGCAACCATTTTGACAAAAGTTCAGGTTCACGTGGCACCTAAAAAAATTACTTTTTTTAAATGAAATTTCACATTTTTAATTCAATTTTTCTATTAGTAATTTTTTTTTAAATTAATATTTTGCAAATATTTTTTTTAAATAAATTTTTTTAAATGAAATAATTCTTTATGGGGAGAAACATAAAAAAATTTTTTTTTAAATATTAACTTTTTAAATTATTCCAAAGATTAATGTTGTTGAAAGACAACAAATTTTATTAGTGACAAAAATAGGATTTGTCAATAAAAAAAAGGATATGCTTTATATATTATGTAATTTGTGATTACTGTCTACATACCACAGAACTTGGAAATAATCTGTAGAATAAAACTGTTTCGCAAGGCGGTCTTGAACCAGTTATAATAGTTGGTAGATCTATAGGCTTGCCTTGAGGATATGCTATTGTTATATCAAGAACCCAACTAATTTCTGGTTTTGATATAGTCATACCTAAATAAACACACAAAAAAATACGTCAATAAATTAACCTAATATGAAATTTCGAATTAATTGTTGCAATTATAATTTGAAAATCATTATATTAATAATTTTTTTAAACAAGAATAGAAAAAAAAGAAGTAACATAAATAAAAATATTGTGACAAAAAATAAATAAATTACTTGATCTGTCGTTTAACTCCTGATTTGAATTATTGTTTTGCGTTGGACCTACAATATCGAATATAGTTTGAATAGCTCCAACTCTTGGCAAACTGACATTTTCGAGAATTGGTAGATTATTTTTTTTTGCATAATTTTGCGAAACCTCTCGTCTTTTACAGAGGAAACCACCCTCAGGAAAAAGAATCATCCACTTTCTATCTAACGGAATGTAAGACTCCTTTAGATGCTTTGTCAGATGTCGTAAACTTTCTTCACGTTTTTTACGACCCTTTAAAGTGATGAAAAAATAAAACAAAATAAGTCTCGAAAAAAATTATTATCACACGTAGATAAAAACTAACATAACTCACCGACGAGATGAAGAAATCTTCATGTAAAATAGAAACTACCCCGAAATTTGTGTATTTAAATACTTTATCCATGATCCACATGATATTTGGTAAAACATTTTGCTTTGCATTGAACGTTGTCATCAAAATGGGAACGTCCCCTGTACTTTGATGATTCGCAATCACCAAAGTCCTATCACTGATTGCTTTTTGAATGTCATCACCGTGCTCGATTACTGTAAAGCAATTTTTTAATTAGCTAAACATTTTATTTATAAATAACAAAATTTAGATTAAATTATTTTATTTTCCTTTAATAAATAATTATGTAAGAAATTTTTGAATCTTGAAAAAACAAAATAAAAGGAATTTTTTACTCACTATCGTAGCCGGCCGTCCACGTCCACATGGACACCATTCCCAGGAGCCAATGAAAAAATAAACCTTCTATTCGCCAATAAATTTGTGGTTGGTAAACTTTGACAGGAAATAATAAAGCCATCCATACAACGTAAGTTGGAATGCAATAACAATTGTTCACAAGAACAAATAATGTCCGGGCAATACATTTTACAAAATTTATCACGATATTCAATAACCTGAAACATAAATTAAGAAAAATATTTTATTAAATTATAACGCTTACTATATAAGTGACCGCGTCTGAAAAAAAGGTGTTATAGGCCAAAAAAAATTATATTAAATTCTCAGACGCGGTTACATATACAATTTTTATTCTGAAAATAATATTGTCATACATTTTTTTCTCGAGGCATAAACAAAAGAAAGAAGAAACTTTATCACTGAAGATAAAAAAAAATTTCCAACATCGCATGAGCTTTATTCATGTTTTTATAAAAAAAAAGACATCGTCTGATCTTAAATGCATTTTATTCAACCAAGTTCAATACTTTTTTGCAACGTGCACTTTTGATAATATTTTTGTTTTTTCTTTATGTTTCTATCTCACTGTAATATGATCAAGAGAATTTAATTAACTGCCTGAATAATTACACTAGATATAAATTTTTTCAATTGTAAAAGTTATACTGCGTTATTAATATTATTTTTTTTAAAACAATTATCAATAGTTTCTATTTAATTATCACAATGCATTTAATATAGCACTAGAATTTCTTTTTCTAAAGTTAACAAGAAACTAATAGAACCAGTTTTAAATAGGTATATAGATAAAAAAAAGAAATACAATAAAATTGAAAATTCTGGAATACTAAAATCATTTTTATAAAAATATATTTTTTTATTGCATTTCATAAAAAAAAATTTTCTATATCTTAAGTACGGTTATATAAAAAAAATGATGTTGACAAATATTAAAAAAAAAAAAAAATGGAACATGTTTTTATTCATGTTGTTCAAGTTCTATATTGCACACATGTAGGAATTATAAAGAAGCCTTTGCACCGTCCACTTATGCAATTACATTGTTAAGGATACATTCTATAAGTTGATTCCATTAAATTTAATGCTGATCATATTTGTAATATACATATCTTCAAAATATCAAAGATTACATCTTTATAAAATTCCTTCGATTACTATATTATTTACAATACTTCTAACAATGTTAAAATATTTTGAATTTATTTTTTTCTATCTAAGATCCACAAATTTATGTTATAAATAAAATAAATAAATAAATTATAAATGAAAAATATAACAAATAAATAATATAATAAATCTATAAATAAATCTCAAAATACTTATTCTCAAATTTAGAGGAAACATTGTAAATGAGAGATCAAAATTATAACTAAAACATAAGCAGATTAATGTAAGTAGTAATGAATAATTAATTTTGTTATTTTATAATTCTAAAATTCAAATACGCTAATGAATATTCACATTTTTCTTGTAAAAAGAAAAACAAGAATCATTTTTATCATTTGTATGAAAAGTATTTATTATAATAGTGATAAAGAATATAATATACAGAAATGCAATTATTGAATTGAATTTTTTTCCAAGTATTAAAAAGAAAAAAAACTGGTTTAAATATAGAATAAAAATCAAGAACAATAATAAAATATTCAAAAGTGAAAAATTGTTTATTTGAAACTCAATTTATAAATAAAATAGCATGTAGGTAAAAATCAATAGTCAAATGTAAATAAAAATCAACAAGCAAGTGTCAAAAAACGAGTTTTCAATGACTTTATTATTATCTCATTGATTAACTAACAAGTTTTTAAACTACAATACTGATAACTTAATAGAACATAAAGTTGTATAAAGTTTGGAAAAAATGGTAAAACATTGATTATAATTTACTTCATTGACCGTTATGTACAGAATTAAAAAAAAAATGTTTATAAATAGTTAACAATGACTCATAAATATTGATATTTCCATGTCTGAGTTTGGAGATTTAAAAATAAAAGTTTTTTTAAATGTTTCCTTCAATTTCTATTGCATTATTATTACAATTACTTATCAACTTATATCAACATATAATGAACATTGACTTTGAAAGTTATTTACAAAAAAAAACATGATAAAACCGAATTAAATATCGAAAAAATTTTCTTCACGAAATTGCGTTCAAATTGAATGATTATGAGAAAATTATCATTTTATTGTATGTTTATCGTTTTTTTTATTTTTAATTACTTAATTTACAAATAATAAAAATAATATTTAAAAATCAGAAATAAAAATATCAATGACGATATACGTGAGGAATATATATACATACAAGTGTCGCATGCATAAATTAAAAGTTAGACGCGACTTGAGGTTAAATTGAATTATTTCGTAAGTTTTGAACTAAAATTCAAAGAAAGATAATTTTAAATGCACTATCATGATAAATATTATTAAAATAAATTAATATTTATCAAATATTTATATGTGATTGTATAGAAGATTCGTGAATCACCTGGTAAGAGTTGATGCGGGAGAAGTGTCAGTCATTTTTTTTGTAATAAAGAAGCCCGTTCTTTGATTTTCTGTAATTTACATTGATTTATTATCCACCATAGCATTTCTTCACTTACAAATTACATAATGAGTAATCATTATCTCGATGACAGATGAACAGGTAAACACGAGGCCAGTCCACGATCAACTAATTTATAGTTCGTTGGTGTTTTTTTAATGAAACAATTAGTTTTCATATGCAATAGCTTGATTTTAAATAACACTATATTTAAAAATCCAGGACAAGAACTCGTGATGTTATACTTTCATAATTTACTCGTGTGTTTATACAGCGTATCATTAAGAAAATTGTGTGTAAATTAAATCAAAATCACATCAACATTCTCTCCTCTTTATTCTAAAAGCAACGCACTAAAGTGCACTGAAGTTAGTCAATAACGATGAACAACTCTACCGGAACAACCACGGGCTACATGTATATATATAGATCGGTAAATTCTCAAATTTTCGAGAATTAAAAATATAGAAAATATATGAGAATATTCTTGAGAATTCTGCAAAAAATTGAATATCGAATTGTATTGTTGAAATTTTATTATTGTTGATTATATGATTTGACAATACTGTTTGTTAATCTATATTTTTTGTCCTTGTCGTGTTACCATGGCAACACGTGCACAAGATAAGGATAAAAAAAAGTGTTGGCACCATTGTAACGTGATATTAGGGTATATTCACACTTTAATTTGGAATTTATTTAATTGAAAAAAAAATTCAATAAAAAATAGAGAATCTGCTAAAAAACTTTGATTAAATAGTTAAATAAAAATTCTTTAGTATGAAAATACGGCTTAATATATAATTTATTTTACTTTAAATAAATTCCTTGAAATAAAATGTGACAGCGGGAGATTTGAAAATGAAATAAACCAACCAATCAGAGATTGCGTGTGGGTGTTGTTTTTGACCTGTCATTTGTCAAAAGTCAAGTAAACGTCACCTGATCACAACAATCATGAAAAATGAAAGTGAAAACGCCCAATGGGCAAACAATACAAGAATATAATTGAAAAATAGAAATAATGGATTATTATTTAAAATTCTAAAATGTAAATATTCAAAAGGTTAGAGTTATTTAAGGTTTTAGTTATTAAAATAAATGTGCAATATAAATAAATAAAATTAGTGAGTAATATTTTTTTAAAACATACTTTGCATGCTAATTTGCCTATCACGATTTTTTTTGCATCTTCTTTACAGATAAAAAAAATACTATTTTTTCAAATATCAAGACTATGTGAAATTTGTAAATAATGAATGTTAAATATGGAGCACCTGTTCTTTTCATTTCATGTGGAGTTTTTGTATTATTATTAAATATTCTTGGAAGTCGGTCAAATTTTAAGGAACCAAAACCATATCATGGAAATATTTTAAAAAAAGAAGGTATAATAATTTTTTCACTAATAAAAAATTAACGACGAATGAAATATTTAATTTTTGAAAATATTTATCTATTTAATCAACAGTTTCCAAAAGGCTTTTGAATCTCAACAACTTTACATATGAAGTTTCTCCAAAATGTAAAGCTGTCAATTTCATTTGGATAATCACCTCGTACGCGGGTGATATTTCTGAAAGAAGTGCTCTTCGACGTGCCTATAGTTCACAGGAACTCGATCAATTGGGAATTCAACGACTATTTTTACTTGGAAAATTAGATGAAAATTCTCAAAGAAATTCTTTAATTTCACAAGCTGCAATAGAAGATGAATCAAAAAGATTTCAAGATATAGTACAAGGCAATTTTTTTGAAGCCTATCGAAATTTAACATATAAACATGTAATGGGATTAAAATGGATTGTCGAGAATTGTGATGATAGAATTTCCTATATCATAAAAATGGATGATGACATAGTAATTAATTTATATGAAATTTTAAATGTGATAAAAGAGAAAAATATCAATAATTCAATAGCTGGATATGTTCTTGAAAATATGAAACCAAAACGAGAACCAGCTAATAAATGGTATGTAACAAGAGAGGAATTTGAGCCTGAAATTTATCCAAAATTTGTCTCTGGCTGGCTGTATGTGACAACATTAACGGTAGCTGTGAAATTAATGGAAAATTTGCAATATTCATCGAAATATTTTTGGATTGACGATGCTTTTGTAACGGGAATATTGAGAGAAGAGACTGATATTGAATTAGTTGATATAAGAGAGATTTTTACCACTGATTTTGGTTTTTTGAAATGTTGCATTAAAAATGGAAGAAAAGGATTTAAATGTGAATTTGCTGTTGGTCCGAATGGTGGTGACACAGAACTGCAAATTCGTTTTCAAAAATTTAGCAATTTTTGTCGATCAAGATGTAAAGCCAAGCCAATAGGAAAATCTTGTGTTCTTAATTATAAAGAGAAAAGTCTAGGCGAAGGCAGTGCACAAATCCGTCCTTTAAATATATTTTAACAGAATTTTTATTTATTCAATTAGAATTTATTTTTGTAGATCATATCTTTTTATTTAAATGTTGAAATATTTGATATGCTTTATTGCTTCGTTAAATCGAATTAATATTGTTAAAATAATATTTTTAATTGTTAACGAAATAATTTTTTTTTATAAGAAAAATATATAATTAAATATTAATATATTTAGAAGAGACTAAAAGATAAAAAAAGTCTTGTCTTTTTAGTATTGAAATAGTTACCTAATACTTGCCATTTACACTTATTTTCTATTTTAGAGAGCTTTCTTTGTACCTGTTTTGTTACCATATATTTTATGAAATAATAAAATAAATTTTATTTATAAAAAAAATTGTCTGACTTTTTAAAAATTCTTTTTCAAATAAAAAAATAAGGAAAACTAATTTTATCAATATTTATTAAACAAGGACCTTCATTTTACATAATAAAATATTGATATCTTTCAATGACAACAAGTTTGTTATTTATTTCAAAGTAGACCAGCAGTAATTTAAATTATTTATCCGAAAATGTGGAAATATAAAAAATATCGAAATGAAGTGAATACAAAATCATTAATTATTACATTACTTAGTACCACGTGTTTGGGAGTTTTTTTAATAATTCTAGTGGGTATCTTTAGAAATCCACTCGATTTTCATAAATCAAACGCTATTTACGAACGAAAACCAAATTCAACAGTGAATAATAAAAGTAAAAATATTTTTGCCACTATGAATTCAAAAAGACGAGTAATTATGTTTTTAATTTAAAAGATAAAATCAAATTTTTTATTTTAAACAGATTAACAAAGATTTTCTAAAAAGTCAATTCATGAAATATTATTGAGTCAAATATTTTAAAAAAGATGTAAAATTTATAATTATTTAAAAATTTGCAAAATTGAATATTAAGTAATATAAAAATATAAATTTTCTAACCTTGTAATTTAATGAACTTCTTTTGTAGACAACAACACACTATTGGACATTAAAAACTTTACGTACAATATTTCTCCAAAATGTAATGCTTCTAAATTAATTTGGATTGTGACCTCGTACGCGGGCGATGATGATAATCGAAATTCTCTTCGTCGTGCCTATAATTCCCAGGAACTCGATCAACTAGGAATTCAACGAATATTCTTACTCGGCAAATTTAAAGCATTCTCACAATTGAAATTAAATCATATTGAAGAAACCGTGGAAAATGAAGCTCGTGACTTTCAAGATATACTTCAAGGAAATTTCTTCGAAACTTATCATCATTTAACATATAAACACGTTATGGGTTTAAAATGGGTTGTTGAAAATTGTTTTAATATTTCGTACATTATGAAAATGGACGATGATATTGTTATAAATTTATACGAAATTTTGAATAATCTGAAAAAGATAAATATTAGTAATTCAATAGTTGGGAAAATTTTTAATCATTCAAATTCGATAAAAAATTCTAATGATGTTTTAAAAAATTGGTACATTACCAAAAAGGACAATGATTTAGACTATTATCCACAATATGTCTCTGGTTGGTTGTATTTAACAACTTACAATGTTGCCGTAAAATTGACGAATCAATTGAAACCACATTCAAATTTTTTTTCAATTGATGATGTTTTTGTGACTGGTATCTTGAGAAAAGAATCAAACGTTGAATTAATTGATTTAAATTCAATGTATACATTTAAATATGAATTTTTAAAATGCTGCATCGAATTGGGCAAAAAAGGAATTCAATGTGAATTCGCCATTGGTCCAAGTAATGATGACGATGAAATTCAAATGCAATTTAAAAATTATTCTTACCATTGTTGTCAAACGAAGTGTCGTATGCGATTAAAGAGTGAATCATTTACGAAAACATGTCTCAAAATTGGTATATCATAAACGCATAATAAAAAAAGTCTCGAAATGAAGTATTTTTTTTTTAGTTTATTAAAACAAAATGAAATTTGATCAAAACAATATGGATTTTCAAAATGAAAAGCTTATTAACAAGAAATATTTCGTTGTTAAAGAAAAGCATAATAAACGAAACTTATTAATCTAATTCCTGCAAAAATAATATATATAATAATTAGAAACTACTCACGAAAACAAAATGGGAATCTTAGAAGATTCATTTATATTTATTTTCTTTTTTTTACGAAAGTCTTGTTTTATCATTAATATTAACTACTTAAACATGGCAATTTTAAATTACTATTTACATTCTCATATTTTCTAACTTGCATTTAAAACACAATTATTTTAAGTATAATTTTTTTTTAATTTATGAGATATTTGTTTGTCTGTTTTTTTTTTTTATTTTATTTTATCGAAAAATATAATGGACTTTTGTATGTATATACATAAATAGAACAAGCATAAGCTTCTGTCAAAGAAGTTAAGCAATTTTTTTTTCTTTTTTGTTTATAAATTTGACCGTTTTCTTTTTAGTACTTTAAAACTAGCCCCAAGACATAAATGATCACTTCCGACAGCAAAATTTGGTATTGTTGGCAAATCATTACATTGATCGACAGTAGGTAAAGTTAATATTCCTAATGGTTCAATGTCTGAAAAAAATATATAATCGACAGTTATCCAATTATTTTGATATGTCGTAGCTTCTGGATGTCCATGTCGATTTTTATGTTTATAAACGCTACGAAATTTAAATGGATGTGTTAGTGTGCCGGAGGAAAATTTCACATGACTTTTTTCATCTATTTCTATTTTTTGATACTGATTTGTGTTTGTGTTTACACTAACATCTTCTGAAACAGTCTCTTCACTTCTATGACCATTTTTGTCATTCTCCCTATTCTCCAACTAAAAAGATCACCAAACGTTAATGAGAAAAGATTCAAAAAAAAATTGAAAGAATGTATTTTTCCCCTTTAATTAATTATTATCATTTTTGATAGATTTTTTTTTCAAAATGATTACGAATGAATGAGTTTTATTTACGAAGAAAATATTTTTTATCAAAAATAATAAAATTTATAATTACCATCACTTGACCTCTTCCTCCACCTCGTAACCTCTCAAGAAGAACATTAAAATGTTGACAATCATCGGTAATGTGTAGATGTGGTGGTAACAGCATATTCGATAGATATCGATAGTCCTGCGATTCCAAATTTCTCCCTTTATTCTGGTACGTGAATAAACCCTGTGTTATGAATTTGTACACTCCAGTATGTGGCTCCAGATTAAAGTCACCACAAAGAATAATCGGTAGATATTTTGGACCTGTCCTGTTAAAAGTGTAGGCAAAGAAAAAAAAAGAAGTGGTAACTGTTGAAAAATCATATAGATGGAGATCGATTTTTGTTTTATTATTTTTTTTTTAAATTAACTTTCAAAGTACCCTCACATAGTATTTTCGATGAAGGCGATTCTTTCAATCTCAGTTAAGAGAATTTGCACTTGACCAAGACGAACGTCATTTCTTCTAGGATTGTATAATAAATGTGTCGTGGCAATGACAAATTGCGTTTCTGGACTGTCCTTAAGGGCAAATTTCACGATAATACCAACATTGTCTCTATTTAGTAGTTCAACTCCCGATTGAAACATTTCCACTTTTGTATAGTCAACAATTGTTAAATGTTCTTTACGATACATTAATAGTAATCCATCATCTTTGTCATTTGTGCGTTTTTTGTAAAAATAATCGTAACCCTGCTCCTTAAATGGAATAAGGAAGTCCTCCAAGTGATCCTCCTGCATCTCTTGTAGACATATCACCTGTTGATTAGAATTTTTTTTTTTTTACTGGTAAAGAAAATAAAAAAATCAAATCTGTAACATTTTTTTACACTTACATTAGCTTCTGATTGAAGAATTTCTTCGGTTATTAATGGTTTTCTCACTCTCCATGGTAATGCTGCTGTATCGTGATATTTATATAAATATGGATGAAGCTCCAGGAGGCTTTGTGCGAGAATATTAAAGGACATTAGTTTCAATACAAAAGCTTCATTGGCATCCACAGTTTGTTTCACTGAAAAAATTTTAAAACAAAAAAAAAATCTTAACAATCGACTTGTTCCAATATTCTTTTGCTTCTGCTTATCTCTTTTTTTAAGAGATTCCGAATCTACTTCCTGAAATTCTAATTAATTTCGAAAATAATTAAATTACAAAATAAATATCTATTTTTAATAATTGAATTTACAAAAAATTATTATTATTTTTAAAACATCAGAAGTAAATTTTTTTTTAAGTACCTAATCTCAATATGTTTGTATCAATTTTCAAAAAATTTAAAAATACAATATATAAAAATTAAATTAAAAACTTACATTTGCCAAATCTCTTCCATTTACGCATATTTTTATACCTCTGCAAATCTTTTGGACGTTTATTATCAAATGATCCATCTTGCTCAGCGGATCTGGTGAAATCCATTTTTTGCGAAAACATTGAAGTAATGCTTTCATTTGATGTTTCAACGCTTGAACAACTCTCATAAGCAAAATCATAGGTCGACGATGGTGGAACTTCTTTTGGTATGTAACACAAATCCAAATATGGTTCCATTAATGTTCTATTGAACTCTTGATGAGTTCCTGGACTTGCAATAGAATCAACTATATTGGCATAGGTCGAGTACAACGCCTCTGGGACGGATGCACTCTTCCGCAAATTTTTGATGAAAATATGTTTTAATGGCACCTCCGTCATGTGTACAATCTAAAGAATTAATTTTTAAAACCATTAGCAAATATTTTTCTGCCTCCACCGTTTATTTTATAATTAACAAGATACACTAACTGAATATTGTAATAATGATAATAATAATATTAATTATTATTATTATTATTATAAAACTCATGATTAAAAATTCAAGTCTTTTCAACACAATTTCTCCACGAAACGATATAGGAAACTAAAAAATAAAATAAATATTAAAAAAAAGAAATAAAGAAACAGCAGACGTGTCTACAACGTCGTTGTATAACTTCTTTATTTGACAACAATACACTCTTAAGTATCACGACCTTTCATTCAAACTATTGATGGTTTATACGCGTGTCATTTGTTCTTCCGAGTATTGCTTTGAAATTCAAGCAGATTCTATTGAAAAGTTTATATGACAATTTTATTCAATTGAAAAGAAAAATTAAACTTTCATTTAAAAAAAATTTGTAAAATATATATAATTATATATAATCCTTTTTATAATTGAAGAATGTTAATAATATGAATTAATAAGAAACTTAATTTCTAAAATGATTAATCAGAATTTGTTTCTCTTATCTAAAACAAGAATAATAAATATAAAAAAAAAATATGTTTAGGAAAAAAGAAGTATAAGATAACGAATTGTGAGAAAAAAAGTACTCGAATAATAATTGTTGTGTCAAGAAATTGAATAAATAAATTTGTTGGCATACTAATTCACTATCTTTTACAACTATATATATCTATTTTAGCATATTAATGTTAAACTGCTGAGTAACATGCTTTTTCGTACTTCAAACTTTAACAACGATATCATATACAATATTTGCGAAATTGTGATAGATCAAATAAACAACTTGAAGTCAAAGATCAAGATCAAAATATAGTTTCACTATTTAATTTTATTAAAAATTCTGATTGAAATTGTAAAATTATTTTTTGAAATGATTTTTTTTCAAGGGCAAACAAATAATTATATTTATCACATACACACACACACACACATTTTTCTAGAAATAGAACACTTATTTAAAATAAAAAAATATATATTTCTACAAAACAATGTCTATAATTTTCTATAAGTTTTCACAAATTTTTAATACTTATTAAAATTTATTCAAATATTTAACATTATTTCAATTTAATATAATTGTCAAATCTTTAAAAATTGAAACAAAGTTATTAAAACATCAAGATTAAATAAAACTTTTTAATCTTCATTCGTGTAAAGATAATGAAAATTGATGAAAAATTGATTTTGTCGAAATTATATTTGTCATGTGACCAATAAAAATTATCACAAAAATATTTAATCAATAATTAAATGTGATTAATTAGAATGTAATCGAATGTCATTGTTAAATGATATTTTTTCAATAAACAAAAAAACTAAAATAAAATTTCCCAAAGTGAAATTATTATAATTTCACATTATAAACAATGATTATTGAACTTGATAAGATGAGAAACAATCAACAAGTAACGGTGTTAAAAAACGATTTGCAAACCTTGGCCATTTCGTGCTAAAAAAAATGCGTCAAGAACACGAGAGAGATTACTTAGTAGAAAAAATTTCAACGCGTAAAGCAAGTAAACGTTAACCTGTCAAGATTTCAGAAAGTGATAATACGAAAATTTAAAAACAATACAAAATACATACATATTCTGAATGAGTATATATATATATATATATATATATATATATATATATGGAAAATGAAAACAACAAACAGAATTGCACATATATGTCATGTAAATAGAATGCATGCATCTAATTAAGACTTCTAGAAATAGGAAAACAGAAGGAGGAGGGATTAATGTGTCCCCGAAGAAAATGACCCTAATGTATCTTTTAACAGCTTACAACAAAAAGTTATGCAATCTTTGTTCGGTGTCTAGATTTTAATCATTGAGAGGAAAAAAAATAACTCACCTTTAGCTCCTGATGAAGTAATGCGCTATGAATGTTTCGACAAAATACATTTGATTTATTCAAAAACCTAGTGGTTGCGTTCATTTATTAAATCTAAATAATTAATTATTTATCTTGAATTTTAAATGTTGTCACACAAAAGAAGACGATAACGTACTGTTTTTGTCGAAACTCCAAGCTGACATTTCGCACAAATTGTCGTATCGATATAATAAGTAATATATAGAGGTTAGTTTTTCAAACTCAGTGTCAGTGTGATTATATAGGTGTATATATATTGTTGAAAAGCACTTTTTTGAATTTTACATCACAAGTTCATTTAAATGTATTCACTTATATAATATATCGAGAATTTCTAATGTATTTAAAATTAGAAAACAAAATAAATCGTCAAAAAGTATACGTGAAATTTTAAGAATTTTCAACCTCGTGTTAGGATGATGATGATGATTCTTCGTTAAGTCGATAAAACAGGATAACATATTACCATCGTTATTAACAGTTTCCCAAAATATTGAAAAATGTTACTTAACTATTTTAATTTAATTTAACTTTTTGTATATGAACAAAAATAAATGTAAAATTACTTCAAACTGTCAAATTCACTTGACATTCTTCTTCTTTTCTTATCTTGAAAAAAATTATCAATATCAAACTAACCGCCATTGGTCACAAGTCATGTGACCTGTAAAAGGAAAATATGGCGCTAAAATTTAATATGTATCTCTTTTGCTTTTTTTCTCTCTAGCGGAAAATGAGAAATCAATAAGACCGGTTTTACATTATATAGAGAAGAGAATAACGGGATTAAAATTTTTAATAAATATTTTAAAATTAAGTAAAGTAAGTTGATTATATAAAAAAATAGAAACAAAGAAGTTGTATTAATAAAAGAATTTATTTAAAGGCACTATACATCGTCGACTTTGTCTACTATACACAAATTAATATTTATTAAGAAAATCACAATTTTGTGCAATATATAATTGTTCTACTTTATTATGTATATTTAAATCACATATTATTATTGTTATTAATCTGCTATGATTATTTCAGAAATATTACTAAATAAGATCGTCATTATCATCTATGCTAAACTTAAATTGATATGTTTGTAAAATAATAATTACTACTTAGACATTAATTGCACCAAATTTTTTCATTTACAATAAAAATTATAGTCTCCAACCGAATAGCACCTGATGATATCAATATCTATAAATATTATTTACAATTCTTATAACAAACATTTTTTTCTATTTCATTAACAATAAATTTCTAAGTTTTTTTTATAATTATATTAGTACAAAGATAATTCTAATAATTCGAAGACTTCAATTCATTTTGTGCTCTATCACAAGCGTCGCACAAACTGAAATTTTTTTTTCGACAAACATTTTAATCATCAAAATTCATTTGTGCTTTTGACAAAAAAATTGAATTATTTTATCAGATATTGTTCTTTTCATTTTTGTTGATAGAATATGTTTTATGCAGCTAAACAGATTTTGTATTATTTAAAAAAAAATCGAAAAGATTTATATATAAAAGTCTACAGATAATTTATAGAAAATTATGATTATAATGATATTATGTATTCAAAAAGTTATTTGGCTCATTGAGTAACAAAATTTAGTTTGTTTTGCACAATGATTTTCTCTGTCGACGATTATTATGTTAGATATTTACAGTCGTCATATAATTCACATTTATATATTATTGTAGTTTTTAAAATAGTTTTTTTTATTTATTGAATAATATTAACTAAAAAATTTGTAAATTGTAACGACAAAAAATGGCTATAAAAATTAAATTATTTAAACAAACTTTATTGTCTTTTTCCAATATTTAATACCAAAAAAAAAAATCTCTTTTTTAACTTGAAAAGAAAAATAATTTTTCCCTCAAATTTGAATTTAGATCAAAAATTTATGCCTATTTTAAATGCTCTTATAAATAACAAATAACGAACAATTGATTGTTAATTAATTATTGTTAGTTCGTTAAATATTTTTTTTAAATAATCAAAAAATAAAGAAATCACAATAAATGTATAAAATTTCTGTTTTGTAAAATTTGTCAAATATTTAAAAATCTTAAGACATTAAAATCTTCTATATACATTCCACTTAAGATTCGTAATTTTATATGATATGAATACATAATACGATATGTCATAAGTACAAAGATAAGAAAAATGTCTATAGTATGCACTAAAAATGGAAATATACCTGATTTTAAGAACTGAAGTCATTTGTTTCGATCTTTCATCTTCCACATTTGATTAATTTACACATTTTTTTATGATTCTATTTGGTCTGGATATCAAAGTTCACTTTGCAATACATTAAAAGCTGATCCCAAAGCCCAGCTTAATTCGTGACCAGAGATTTTTTTATAGAGCTGAAAACATAAAATTTATATATTATTTTAAAAAAATTTAATATTAAATTTTTTCAACTTTTGTTGAAAATTGAGAAAGTACATAAATGTTTTTATTTTGTTAATAAAACAATATAATAATTATAATTAATAATATTAAAAATTATTATCATTTGAAATAAAAACTAAACATTTTTATCAACATAAAATTTAAAAAATTTAAAAAATTCGAAATTAGAATTAAAATATTTAGTGTATGAAAAAAAAACTCTTCAAAACTTACATTGAGTTTGGTTTTTGGCTCGAGACCAAAAGTATTTTTTAACAAAGAGTAAATAAAAGTTAAATCCAGGCACGTAAATGGTTGTTCTGTATTCACATATTCACAAGTTTCCAAAACGGCTTTATGAAGAGCTTCAACTGTGATAGTACCTCCTTGAAATGGATCTATCAATCCAATCTACAAAAAAAAATCAATTAATTTTATAAATAAAAAATTATTTAAATAATTGTTTAAAATAAATTGTCTTACTTCAGTAGCTCTGTCAAAATAATATGAAAAAGCATAAATCTCATGTTTATTCAATCCAATTGGTTTATTCTTGATTGTACTCGTGTAGTTTTCAACTAACTTCAAACAATCTTGAAATTTAACAATTGGACGTTTATCCTCACCACTGGCATAATTTTGATTTTTAAAAACTTTCGTTGCACCTTTTACTGGTCCCATTATATGATATTCTTGTCCTCCATAATTCCATGTAGTTTTAATAAATGGATTAATACATTCGGAGCGTATTTCAATAATTCCATTTTCATTTTTCGCCGCTGATTCTGGCACTAAAATTCCTTTTCTCGCAGCCATAAGTCCCATGCCTAAATAACTATGAGTGTAAATACTCATATTATGATTTAATGCACTAATATTGTAAATATTGTCATTTAATTCTTTGACATTCTCTTCATCGGGTGCAAAAGTAACTTGTGTTGAACCACCGCCAAGATCGAGAGCCGCTACCGTACTTCGCGAACTATGTTGATTAAATCGATCCAATAGAAAATTAACCGTGAACCATGAGAAAATACCTTCATCAACGCCTTCCATTATTGAAATTGATTTATCGTTCAGATGAAAACCGGATGTTTTCAAAAAATTTCTCGTTACTTCTAAAATATCATTTGCCTTGTGACCAGGAAGAAGACGAAGACCAGCTGTGGCTTTCATAAAAAGTGGAGTATAATTCCATTCGGATTGTGGAATTACAGATTTTGCCTTGTCAACAAGTATTTGTAGAGATTTCATTCCTTCAATTGGATTATCAGCGTATGAACTTAATCCTGGTTTTTCCTGATGGAACAATTCACTATCCAACACTAGATTACCATTTATAATTGATGTATGAAAACTAAATGCTAATACTCGAGATCCTGTTGATCCAGCATCAATAATTACAACGTAAAATGGTTTTTGAAAATTGAGAGAAAATGCTACGCTGTCAATGGCTTTGCCTCCAAGATGAAATGGTTTTAAATCATTTGCTATAGCCACATATCCAAATATCATAAATCCCAGAAATATGAGTGTATAATAACGTCTCACAATAGTTTTTGACGTTTTCTTCTGGTTTGATGTCCTCGATGCCATGTTAGAACTTGACATGCTGTCATCATCATCTAATCTCAACTGTAAAATATTAATTATTTTAATAAATTTCAATTAAATTACTTATTTTTACAAAATTAAATAGAAAGATTGTTTTTAATTCTTGAAATAATTTCCTATTTCTTTAAATAAAAAAATATAAGAATTTTTTTCTATTCTAAAAAAATAAGATTTCCATCTATAATTATATTATAAAATAAGCAAATCAATAAGAATTTTAATTTTTCACGTGCAGTTGATTAATTCTAAAAGAAAAATAATTAAAATATAATAATTTAGAGGAATTTACTATATGAAATTTTTACAAGTTAACCTTAAAAGGTAGAGCAGTTTTCTTTTGTTGGAGATTAAATATCTCACATGATTCTTTTTTTTTATTATTTCTCAACAAAACTTACAATCGTATAACGCATTTAATTAATTCCAAGGAATTAATGTGATTTTTTCAAAATTTATTGAAATTTTCTTGCATTCGCCATTGGTATGGCCACATCCACAGCTGATCATGATATTAGAGGTTATGTTTATTAAAATAATTTTGACAGTTGACACATCGCACCATTTTGTAAAGAAAACGAAAAAAAATAAAAATAAATCACGTGGTCTTGTTAATAAATTATTTCAAATTTAAATTCACTGATTTTTAAAAATTATTTTTCCTTTTTCAATGAAATATAGGTATATTATATATGAATATTTTATGTAATTTTACCTTCCTTTTTCTTGCTGACATCCTTCTTGATCTGTTCTTGGCAAAGGAAAGAATGTAAAATTGTTACAAAAATATGTAACGTACTTTTTGAAGTTAAAAAGATAATGATTTAAATATAATTCACTGAAACGAACTTCTGAATGTCACCATTCATCAGAAACTATATTTTGTGATAACTAATAATCATTTTATAATTCAGTCACCATGACACAGCAAAAGATAACAGTTTCAAGGTTATTTATTAGTAGGAAAATTTAGAATAAATTTTAGTTTCCAATTAATGTACAAGGAAAAAATGATTTTTGTTTATCAACAATGTGTTTGATGATTGACAAAAACAAAAATTTATTTCAAATTGTATTTATTTATTAAATCACAAAATTTATAATTATATATTCATTATTAAATCATTGTATAATAAATAAAAATAAATTCCCGAATATTAAAAATATTATTAATTATTGCGCATATGGTATTTAAACAAAAAAAAATGAGGAAACATTTTAAAAGTTTTTAAATTCCTTTTTAGTCCAGTTATCATTAAAATATCAATAAGAAATTAATTGACTAAGCATATAAATTATCAATAATTGAAAAATACATTAACACCTGAGATTAATTTTTGAAATTGTTTTGAAGTTATTAAAAATTGTTATCTTCAAGGCTCAAGCAACTTATCAGCAGAAAAGGCTTAAAAAATTTTTATTTTCCAAAGTTTTATCTTTCTCATTGTATAGTGAAAAATTGACTATAAAACAATGTTAATTTTCTTCATCGTGTGAGGGAAACAGGATTTTTGAAATATAAGGAAAAGAAATGTAAACAAAAGTTATACATATCTCAACTAGATAAAGAGTTACATAATTTTTTGATATACAAATGTATTTTAAATATCTAATCTTTCAGACGGAGACACATCAGACGTGAAGGTTTATGATGAGTGAGATGTTCAATAATCATTTAAATGGTGACGTCACACAAAAGGAACCAGACCCGTCGTTAGAACTTATGGGTTTCAAAAATAGATTCACAACTACTAACTCTGTGCAGTGAAGTCATCATAATACATATACAATCAAATATAATATCTTTCATCAGATGTAACTATCTGTTGCTTGTAAACTGTGTGTATTATAGTATAAACATGAAGAACACTACTTTTTTTTCTTCTTTTTCTTAATCACAGTGAATTGTAAATAATTTTTCCCTTTTAATGGATTTACGATAAAAAAAACTAGTTAACTGTTAGATATAAAGTGCATTTAATTTTTATATACAGTTTTCATTGCCTCGATACATTATATTAGTTGAATTACTTCTAGTGTGTAATATTTATTACATTCTCATTATTAAAAAAAAAATTTAGTTCCGTTTTCTTGAAATTATTTAATTTTTTAAACTTTCTCAAACGTTTATATTTAAAGTTATTTATTTGAAATATTTATCAAGTTATTTAAAACTATTATTAGTATTAAAAGAGAGGCTGAAAAAAATTATTGAGCTCGTAAAGTAGCAAATTAAAAAAAAAATGTCGCATTCAAATTCAAAATCGTCGAGTCTATTTAAACAAGCTGTTATTCAAATTGGAGCCGGAGGTTCGGCAGGTTTTGTGGAGGTTTGTATTATGCATCCAATGGATCTCGTTAAAACACGATTTCAACTTCAAGTGAAAACTAATAAAGCAGATCCTTTATATTATACTGGTAAGTAATGGCCATACGGTTTCATATTCAATGAAGCTGAGAATTTAGCAAAATGTCATCATTAATACAAAAAAGAATTCAGTAAATTATCGTTTCAATAGAAAAATTATATTTTTACAAAATTTGAGAATCCAAATAATAGTGCAGTTGTAATAAAATAATAATATTATTATTAACAATATTATAATAGTTTTATGAAATAATAGTTCTAAAAATTGGTATCTCCAGGCAGTTTTAGTTTTTAATAGAAATTTCAATAAACTAGCAGTTCCAAATAATAAATAAATTTTTTTAATTATTTTCCAATTTGTCAATTTTCTTATGTCAAATTCCAATATCGTATTTTTTCTTCTTTTAATTATTAATTACGTTATAAATTCATTGAGTGAGAGGAACTCTTAAATAATGTGTAAATTCAAAAAATTCATTATTAAAATCCAGGAATTGCCGATTGTATGAAAAAGATGTATAAAAATGAAGGCCTCGCTTCTTTCTGGAAAGGAATATTACCGCCGATTTTATCGGAAACACCAAAAAGAGCCGTGAAGGTAAATAGTAAAAAAAAAAGATTAATAATTAAAAAGATTTAAATAGTTTTTATAAACTATTTAAATATTGTTATATATTAAACAATATAAATTGTAAAATTATTACTTTTTCTAGTTTTTTTCATTCGAGCAATATAAACCACTTTTTCTCTTTGGCGCCAATTCTCCAACTCCCCTGGTAAATAATGTAAATTATTCATATTTTGTTTTTCACATTCATTTTCGCAAAATATTTTTATTTACTATATATTAAGAGCATAATAAAATTTTATATTAATAATTATTCAAGGTTTTTTTAATTAATAGACTTTTACGTTAGCTGGATTTTTTGCTGGCATGACAGAAGGGATATTTGTAAATCCATTTGAAGTAATTAAAGTGCAAATGCAATCAAATCGTAAAAAAATGACAGAAAGCCCTTCGACATTTGCTGTGACAAAGGAGATTATTAGAAAAAATGGATTTGGACTAAATGGTCTAAATAAGGGATTAAGCGCAACAGTTATGAGAAATGGTGTTTTTAATTTAGTCTACTTTGGATTTTATCATTCCGTTAAGGGCTGTATTCCAGTGTACAAAGATTCGAGATTAAATTTTTTAATTAAGGTAAAAATTAATGTTAATTTAATCAAAAATATAATAATGAAATAATTCAACTTTCAGATAAAGTAAAATTTTTTAATTGAATTCAACTTTTTTTTTTATCTTAAATTTTCAAATTTTAAAATATGATTCCTTTCTTCGACAAATATTAATTATTTTAATCTTTAATTAATTAAATTTAATTTTTAACGACTTCTTTGATTAATTAAAAAATTTTAATTAACTTATCAGTATTAATTTAATATGTCCAATTAAATGAATGTGTGTCATAACTTTTTTTTTTTTGTTAGGTCGTCATTGGTTTTTCAGCAGGAACAATGGCTTCTTGTTTAAATATTCCATTTGACGTGGCCAAAAGCCGAATTCAAGGATCAAAAAATAATGAATATAAAGGAACATTAAGAACAATTGGCACTGTTTATAGACAAGAAGGGTATGTATAATAAAAGGCGAGAAAATTATGTTTTTTTTTTAAATTCAATATATAATTTTAGAATTTTTAAGATAATTTAAATTTGTTTCATTCAACAGATTTAGAGCTCTTTACAAAGGATTGTTACCAAAAGTTTTACGATTAGGTCCTGGCGGAGCAATAATGTTAGTTGTTTATGACTATATGCACGCTTACCTTACAGCCAAGCTGAAGAATTAAATATTTTTTTATCTTATACATTTATAATTGACGTTTTGGTATCATCGGACAATTGAGAGTAGGCTTTCTGCATCATTATTTTGTATGATACACTAATCGATGAAAAACAAATACATGTTTATTTTTTTTACCACAAAAACATTGTGTTACTTTTCAAAAACATATTCAGAAACACATAAACAGTGATTAAAAAACTAAACATCCAAAACAGATTCAAGCCATTTTTCAAGATCCACAGATTTTGTAGGCACAGTAGCCGATGTGCATATGGGTTCTATAAAAAGAAAAAACATTTTTCAACTTTTTTACAAATTACGAATAGTTTAATTTTGTAAAATGAGAGTAAAATATCCTAATTTTATATTTTTATACTTTGAATAAATGGAAGAAATATTTAAGAGAAAAAAACATATTTTTACCTTTGACTTTTGAAGTAGGAATGATTTGAGAAAGCATAGGTGTTTTTGAAATGGGTTCCTCCATTGTTAAAAGAGAATCTAATTCCTCTTCAAGATTATCAATTTCTGAATTTGAGCTTTTGTCATTTGGTGTTTTGATAGTTTTTTCGTCTTTTAAATCAGTCAGATTTTTATCTAGTTTTGAAACATTTGAATCACCAGAAGCATTTTTCTCATCAATTTCTGTTGTTTTTTGGAGATTATGAGTATTTGTTAATTCTGTTTTCTAAAAATAAATTAACAAATAAAAAAATGAGAAACTAAATATAAACTATAAATGAATAATGTAATAAATTCGTAAAAAAAAATAAATTTTTCGAATATGAAGTACATACATTGAGCTGTGTTTTACTATGTTTAAATTCGTTATGAACATTAGATTTAGCATCACTTTTTAAATACGTCAAATCATGTGAAAAAAGTCCACAAGATTTGCAGCAACCTAAAGAACAATTTTTCTCATCCTTATAATTGTATGTTTTATCATCTGAAACAGTAGCTTTGACATAACTTAAAAATTCTTCCTCCGATTCCTCATCTTTCTCGCTCTCATCGCAAGGAAGTAAACGCATTTTTGGTTGAGGAGGTGGTAAACGTTCTTGAATTCGTGCTTTCTTTGCTTCATCTGTTTCATCAGACTTTAGTTTACGACTTTTTTTAAATTTTGCTTTACGAAGATGAGATCTCACGTCTTTTCCAAATAATGAAGTTTTTGCACCAGCCGTACGAGGCTTACGTTCAGGTCTTCTTTTCTGAGTACTTTAATTATTTATATTTAGAATCATAATAGATCAATTTTATTTTAAATTCAATGTAATTAAAAATATATTTGATTATTTAAAAAAACATAATTTACCTTGGCTCTGCCATTTTATAGCGAGAGGTTTCTTCTTAATTAGATAAAAAAGCGTATATTCCTATTTTAAAGCACTTATTGTAAAAAATTACTTTTCTATACAAATATACAATATTAAACTACTATAATTATGGCAGTAACTGTTTACAAATAAAAAGAAACTGAAAAAAAAATAAAAACAACATATAATCTATGTATTTGCATGAAGTTAGTAACATGTGTTTTCATGTATGATGGAAATATATCAGCCAATCAAATGGTGAAAAAATTTAAAATTTTTGTAAACACGCCAAGAAGTATAGCGCATGATATAACCTTAAAATATTTTAAAAAGTAAACAAGCAGACGCGCATTTTAATTTATTGTTTATCAGTTTATATATTCCATAAAAAGGTGTTTAAAATGAGAATGTTGGTTTTATTCTTCCATTACAAGCATATAGAATAAATTAATTATAAATTTTTCCTTCTAAACGTTAAGTTTGGATGTGTCAAATTTTCACAAAAATTCCGTTACGTTTTTTAAATTTGTGTTTAACGTGAATTAATATTTATGTTAATTTGGTTTATGTGAATTGCCAAGAGAAAATTAAAACTATTTTCACAATTTGTGAGTATACTTGATATTATAAATATTGAAAAATCTGACAAAAATAACAAAAAGACATATTTTATTACTCCCTGTCAGTTTAAAAAATGTTTTGACAGTTTACTTAATTTACCGCAAATTTAAAAATTTTATAATTGTTAGTTCATTTGATGTATAAATTTCTCGGCTTTGCATCTTTTGGTTCTGTAAAACAGTGCTTTTAATTTTTTTTTTCTTTATATTATAAAATATATAGTTGTAAATATAAGAATAAATTTTTATTTTCATACTTAGGAAAGATTTTGTTAAAAAAAATGGAGATTTTTACATTTAACAAGAGTCTTCAGGAGAGACTCGTCGATTATACAGGAATTCTGTCAAATCGAGAGGAAGTTGTTGCAGCTTCACAAATTCGTTCTGAATGGTCGTATCATGTGGAATTTGTAATTGAACCAGTTGGTTGGCGTGCATTATGGAAAATTCCAAAACTCACTTGTCAAGATTTTGAAATTCATTATCCAACAATAGTCGCTGTTATTGTGCAACAAGTCGATTTTGTCGAACTCACGGCACTTGTGAAAATTGTTGCCGTTCAAGAGGAAATTCATTTACCGGAAAAATATGATGTACCTCTAATTGAATTATATCCAACTCAACATCAAGACGATATTGCCTTGGATATGATTGCAACAGCAAATTGTATAGATCAACTTCGATTTTTTTACAATTATCTATGGATGCCATGGGATCATGACGATGATGAGAATCGTGATTGGATATTGTCGCATCTTGAACCGAGATTGAGACTTTTTTTCGATATGAAAAGAGGTAGTGTTTGTAAAAAGACTTGTGATGTTATTCGAACATTAATGAGAGAAGGACGTGAGATAAAGGAGAAAATTTCAAGATTAGAAATTGATATTTCGGATGATGAGGATGTACATGATCGTTCACTTGATGATGGTAAGGCTTGTCAATTGTTGAAATTGCATTTTCGATTGCAACAAATTAAAACTGAAATGGAAGTATTGGAAAATCCAGCAATGAGAGATGTATTAATTAGAAATCAAAGTTCGAGTGTTATGGAAATTGAGACAAAAAGACGAGAGAGTGGTGTTAGAAGAGTAGAGGGTTATTTTGTTTGGCTCGGTGGTTCGTTGGAGGAAACGATTTTCTCTTTGAATCAAGCCAAAGGATTTTTGCCTCCCGACACATTTGTCAAGTAAATATTTTTAAAATATTTCTCTAACGTTTATTTAAAGAAATTAAAATTAATATTAACTTTTTTTTCGCAGAACATCCAGTTGTTTGAAAGAAGCTTTAGATACATGTGATGCAGGAGATATTATTATTCTTGGCAGTGGCGATCATCCCATCAGAGGATCTGGAAATTTAGAAGACGGTGGAATGATCAAGGGAGTTGATTCTTTCGAAAAAACAATTATTTGCCCCAAAGAAACTGAAAGTGGTCCATCTTTGTTAGATTTTTCAGGCAGAGAAGTAAGCACATTATTGTTTAATTAAAAAATGTCTAAAATCTGTTTTAATTTGAATATATTAATTATTTTAATATTATTTAATTTTTAAGGTAGTACTGGAAAATTTGACAATAGATTTAGGAGATATCCAGGCAGGCATTCTGGTGAGAAAAGGCACAGTGAAGTTGGATGGATGTCGAATTTATACGTCCAATCACAGTGTAATTAAAATAGGAATTGTTGTTTTGCCAGGAGCAAAACTTAGCGCACAAAATACAACTCTAGTGGGATTAGGAACTGGTATCATGATACATTCAGGCGGAGAGGCTAATTTAAGTGAATGTAATTTCGAAGAATGTACAGATGGAATTCAGGTATTAATTTCAATTACAATACAATTTAAATCTTTAATTATTATTTAGAAAATAAATCAATAAATTTTCCTTTTTTCTATAGCTACAAGATGATTCTAAATTGACAATGACAAACAGTCCTCTAAAAAATTTGAAAGAATACGGAATTCGTATGGAGTCAAAAAAATATTTGAATGACTGTGAATGTAAAACAGGTGGCGCGGAATTATTAGAAAAAATGTCAGAAATCTCATTGGAAGGTTGTAAATTTGATAATAATGGCAAAGGTGATGTATTACTAAAGTCGCAAACTGCCACCTCTTTATTAACAAAATCCGAGGATATGGTTTCTTGAAAGTTTTTCTTTTAATGAGAATTATTTTTTTTTTTAAATACTTTTTAAAAGTTGTAAAATTTATGCACGTAAGAAGATTTTTCAAACCAAAACATACATAATGGTTACGAATGAAATAATTTTAATGTTTTTTTTTTTTAATTACATAGTGATGAACTGTACAATTAGAAAGTTTTAACAAAATGATTCCATGTATTTTATACTAAATACAAAATTTTTGTACCATGTTTTTGTCCAGATTTGACCGTGTTTGTCTATTAAAAAAAAATATATATATATACATAATTTTCTTACTAAAAAATGTATTTCTATTTCCATTTCAATGTAACTACAAAATCCAGTGTAAGACATTGACACAAACAAACGAAAAAAAAAACTACAAAATTCTCACGAGACGCATAAATAATTTTCCAAACGTACGAAACTTTTTAAAACAAATTTTTTCACAAAACAAATAACAATTAATCTAGATTATTTTTTTAGAAAAACAAATTTCCACGAATTATTTTTCTGAATATTGAAAAATGGACCATTTTTTCCCCCATTATTTTAACGTAAGAGTAATTTCTAAATTTTAATAAATTCTATTTTTTTTTGTATTGATAAAAAGACGGTTTCCTGAAGATTTGTCACTAAAATTTGATTTCAATAGACTATAATCCCATGTAACTGCAGAATATAAATGCACAGCCGATACTCAAAATAATCAGGACTACTACCACCCAAATGGGAATTGTATCTGAAAATAAATATATATTTTAATTAACAATAATTGAAATATTAATTTTTAAGAATTTGTTAATTAAATTGAACTTACATCTATATGGCAAGCTGTGAATGCAAATCCTATTATCAACGGAAATACTAACAACAGCCGCTTCAGCATTACTCGTTATCGTTGGACCATCATGTTTTGTGGGTAAAAATTCAAGACCAGTCACAAACATACTGTGTGCACCGGGAATGTGAAGAACTCTTTGTAAACTAAATGCAATAAACATATCGACACTTCCCGAAAACATTGTTCCAACAGCGACCAATTGTCCATTATCAGAAACTGCCAATGCCGAAAGTGTCTCTTGAAATGATACCGATTTCATAATTACACCAGCATCAACATTCCAAAGTTGAAGAAAACTTGGATTTTTCCCCACAATTGAATTTGACAATGTTAATAATTGATTTTTTGGTATTTTTTCATCTGGATCTCTAAATCGACATCTTTTATATAAATATTTCATATTTCCTGGTACATTCCAAGTGAGTTCTTTCTTTTTCATTTCACATGTTATATCCCAAACATAGGCTTTGCCATCTTTTGCTATTGACACAAGTAAATTGCCAGCTGAATTAAAATCTATATCGTCCACTTCTTTTTTGTGAGCCTCTAAATCGTGAACTTTAATGAGCTCGGGAAATTTCCAAAGTCTAATTCGACCGTCCGTACCACCGGTTGCCATTAATTCTCCATTTGAACTTATTCGCACGATTCTTTGAAGTGGTTCCAAATCTCTAAAAAAATGAATTTTTTAAAAACATTTTTATTCTAGTTTTATAATTAATAAATAATGAATAAAATTGAATTCATTACAATGAAAGACAACTTACCCGAAATCTGTTTGTATACTGTCCATAGGTTTAACAATTAATTGTAAACGTTTACTCTTTAAATTCGAATTACTATCCTTGACTTCTTCTATTCTTTCGCAATTATTTGACGAATTATCTTCACTTTTATTTCGTTGCCTAAGACCTGAGGTTAAATTTCCGGATTTTTTTGGAATCTCACCATTTTCGACTGTGACAATTTTCGAATGTATATTGTATAATTGACAATGACTTTCCTGACCAGCTGCAATCCATGATCTTTTCTTATCACTAAATGTAGCACAATTCATTACAACACTGGGACCTGTTTCATGACGTGTTACTTCTTCAGCAACAAATTGATATCCATCGTGTGACAATTCAAATATTTCCTATAAAATATTTGAAATTTTCATGTTAATATTAATTATATAAATTCACACTAAAATTTTGTAAAATAAAAACAAAAAGTAATTTTTTATTTATAATATTTTTATAATATATTAAATATTTATACAGTATTATTGTATATGAAATTTATTATTTGAATTTATTTAAATATTATAATGATTTAATTTTAAATGTATATTTGGAGCAGTTTGACATTTGACAACCTGGAATGATAAATTTAGGTTATGTTTTTGAAAAACTTACAAATCCATTGGCAACGCCAGTTTTTGCGGAACCACCTCCACCTCCGACGAGAATATGTCTATTTGTTAACATTTGTACAGTATATAAGGGAAAATTAACCCTAGCCAGTAGGCCACATTTATTTTTTCTTGGTGGCATATTGGAGAAAATCAACGTGTCACTCTCTTGTAATAATGTGCGCGACTAATTTGTTCACTTGTTTTAAAATTTTTTTTTTAGTTGTAACACCTAGATGTATAGGTATACAAGTTTGATAATTAAAAATATTGTTTACCGACCTCAAGTTCCACGTATTATGTTTGGAAGTCTAAAAAATTTATACCATTATTATTACATTATATACATATTCAGTCAAGAAAATCTATAGGTCCGTCTTTAGATTAACGAAATGTTAAAAGCATTGCAGTTATTAACACACATAAACAAAATGCAATTAGAATAAACACGAGCAATATCAAATAAAAGAAGGTCTGGGAATTTTTCCTCATCATTTATTTATTATCAGTCAAGTTCAATTATTGAAATATTTTCAAACTTTACTAGGATTTGTTTCTGTTTTAAGCCGACCGATGGTAACTTAAAGGAATACGAGAGACATCTATCGAGAAATCATAGTAATTGTTATATAGTTTAAGGGCGGTATTCATAGTCGATACTCATTTCTTAAGCAGCGACTTAAGCTGACACCTAGATTCATAGTCGTGCATTGTGGATTGACTTAAGTCGCAACTTAAGCATTTGCTTAAAGAAGTAAATGCTTTGATTTTGAGATGCATAGTCCCATCTTAAGAATGCCAAGTATTCATAGTCAAATAGGATTTTCTTATTTGACATTACCGGTGAACTTATTTGAACGAATTGAGGTTATGATTTAAAGTCAACGTTTTAGTTGACTTAAGCAATAACTTATTAGTGTATTTATAGTGAAAAAAGTGTTAACAATGGATATAATGCATTATTTAAGAGACATTGAGGATGATATTGATAATGAAGATGGTCCAAACAATATAAGACGTGCAAAACGATACATTCGAGATGCGGAAAATTCTTTTGAAATAGATGAGTGAGAGTTTCAGAGACGTTATCGTTTTCACTCCACGCAGCCTCCTTAGCTTTCAAGGAACAATCGCTTTTGCGATTTTCAATAACATGGGCAAAAATTTTGATAGTTTGCAGGAAAAGTTTTCTTTATCCGTATTGGTGTAATGCTTTTTAGACATTTTATTACTACAAAAAGTTTCATTAATTAGTATTAAAATTTAGTATTATTTATAATAATTTAATTATTTATTGTTTACAAATTTTATATTCCATTATATTTTTATTTTAATATATAATTTAAGGGAGTGAGAGTAGCAGATTTATATTTGGATACATTTATTATTTCTACAAGAAAAAAGAATTTATGTATGAAAGTAGTTATTTTATGTTTATAAACAATTAAAATTTTTTAGCGTACAGCACTTTTTTAAAAACGAGAGTATATAAGATAAGATATAAAAAAAATTACCAGTCTTTTTAATTTGAAAAAGAAAAAATAAATTGTGTTCTACAAATTGTACGCCTAATTTTAAAAATATTAATGTTAATATATTGATCATTATTTTGAATATTTCACTATTATGTATCATTATTTATCAAATTTTAAATATATTTCATTCGTTGATTATTAAAAATTTTTACTTTTAAACAACATTAATTATATTCACAGGTTTATATTTTTGAATTTTGTTTTATTACTGTTTTTTATTACAAACATTTAATAAGAAAAATATTTTACAAATTTACTTTTTTCAAATGATTAAACAAAACAATTTTATAAATAACATTAAAAACGCTGAAACGAAAAACTCAAATTGAATACAACGCAAGTATAAATATTCCTTGGCGCATTGAGGCGAATTTTCAAAACCATTTCTTATTGGTGGATTCAAAAGAATATTGACGGAAAAATCCGATCGTTCAATAAGATCATCTTAAGCATTTGCTTGGTCAAGAAATTCTTAAGCTGCATTTCCTTTACCAAGCAATTGCTTATTTTTGACTATGAATATATATGGTCTTAAGCTCGACTCATTCGAATAAGACCGTCTTGATCAAGCAACTCTTAAGTCCTTGCTTACATAATAAGCGAGAAGGAATTAATTTGTGAAGTTAAATCTTTTCATTTAATGACATTTTTTTTTAGTAAAATTTAATAAAATTGTTTCTTTCTTTACGCTATGTTAAAGTACGCAACGTTTATGATCAACAATTAGAAATAGTTTATTTAAAAAAATATTGTTTTATAATTTAAACACAGTAACAAACATCTTTTATAGAACAAAAGAGTCATGGATCAAAGCGTGAAAATGATTAGAAAAGCAAGAAATACTTCTAAAACAAAAAGAATGCTGAATTGGAGAAAAGACTCGGCTGAGACGGGGACGAAAATGGAAGTATCTTATAAAGATGTTAAAATTTATAGCATGCAAAATAAAATTGATACTCTTCAAAATGAGAACAAAAGATTAAGGGATAGTAATGCCAATAAAGATAAAATAATTGATCACCTGCAATGTTCTCTGAGAATTGCAATGAACTCTACAGAAAAGTTTGGTAAATTATCCAATGTTTTAATATTTTACGTGTTTTTTTATATGTGTTATTTTGTTTAAAAACGTTATTATTTTTCTGATTAAAAAGGCATATGATTTTTTCAGACGATGCATAAAGAAGAGAAAAATTATACATTACATTAGCAAACAAATTTCTAAAATATGTTTGTCTTCGACGCATTAAACATTTTGTTTCATTCATATTTTTTCAATTACTTATAATAATACCATATAGTTATGTAAAATAAAAATTATTTTTTACTTATTATAAATCCGCATAAGAAAGATTAGAAAAATTTTGTTTTCATTCTCATTTTCCCGGTCGTTTATTTCTTAGCCGATAAAACAGATACTGGTTATAATTTTATTTTAAAAATAATTTAAGAACATATTTTATAGAATAAAATATTTTATTTTTTAAACTTTACCAAACAGTTGTTAATAATTTATTTTTCAAAAAAGAATTAAATTTTTTTTTATTTTTTTCACTGATTTTCTAACCTCACTTTTGCTTTTTGCAACTTTTATACAAGTGAATTCAAATCGTATAACATATGTTATTATTACACAACTAAATCATTATGCTTTAAATTAATTGGGTTTATAAACAGGGAAAGGGAAGTGTATATATATAATTGTCAAATTATATACATTTTGATTGCAACGTTTTTTGTAATAATTTGACGTCACCGCGCAGTGAGCGGTGTGGAGTTATAGAGAAAAATGGCAGGAGCGATAAGTCGTTATTTTCAAGTTCCAAAGAGACAATTAGGTGAGTTACAACTTTCTTTTATTTACACAAACCCTCTGGAACATATGGCAAAACAGTATTAATTTTTAATTGTTTCAATTTTTACTGTATTGTCAATAAAAAGTGAGACTTGAAAACATTCACCATTTTTGACAAAACAAGGTTATGTAATTGAAAAAGTGAATTTTATTGTTAAAAAGGACTCCTTGGACCTTATTTAAATGGTCAACAAACAAGAACACTTGCTGATTCTGCTCCAGAAGGAAAGGTAAATATTTTTCTTTATAAAAAGGTATTTATAGTAATTGTTTTTCTTACACAATTGTCTGCTGTCGTGTTTTGCGTATATATATATTTATTGCTTTTTTTCATTATTTAATATTTGGTGAACTGTTATTGCTTTTATTTCTAATTTTCTTTTATCAGAAAATACATGATGTTTTAAATTTCGATTATTTAGAGATTTATAAGGTTTTGTGTTTTTTTTTTTTTTTGACATATATCAGCTCCGTGAAGTTGGCACTGCCAATATAAGGAAAATAGATTTTGTTGTATGGAATCGTTTGGTGGTCGTTTGGTGGTGTTTGGTATCCAAGTTTGGAGGTTTGGTAGTCAAAATTAAGAAAGTTACAACGATTATAAATTTTCAGTGCTAACTTCACGGCTGCACTGCACATTTATATATTTTTCGAAAATTCCTTTTGACATCGTTTGGTGGTCGTTTGGTGGTGTTTGGTAGTCAACTTTTGAGGTTTGGTAGTTGAAATTATAAGAGATAATCAATTTCTAAACATTTTTTCTTGGATGCGCATAAGGGTGCGCATAGCCGTATGGCGCAAAGATTCAAATTTTAATTTACTACTTTACATTTTTTTCTACAATTTAACTTTTAAAATTATTTAGTGGACAGTATTTTACAAGATTTTTTGCAAATTTTATGTAGATATGATAAGAGATTGTGAAATTAAGAAAATAATGAAACATTAAATTAAATAGATACTCTCGCTGGCTAGCATCGAGCTGTGGGAGTACCTTAACATAAGCCCACTCGGTTATCTGGCGCATAAATTCAAATCAGTATGTTTTACTTTTGAATTCTTTTCTTATAATTTCATTTGTAAATTTATAAATAAGTATTTTAGAATATTTTCTGCAAATACAAATACATTTGATAATACTCAATAAAAAAACTACACGCCTCCACTGTACATTTATTTCTTCTTCAAAACTCTTCTTTTAGCATCGTGATTGATGAGCGTTTGGTGGTGTTAATTAGTAGTCAACTTCTAAGTTTTAGTTTCGTTAAATTTATAAAAAATATAAACAATTGCTAAGTCTTTTTTTAAAGAGAGTAAAAGTAAATGAACCGAAATTTAAATATAGCATTATACAGGGTATCCAGCAGTCAGGTTAATGAAGGAAAATTCACAGAATTTTTTTAATATTGTCTAAAGATAAAAATTTATGCATTTTTTTACACATTCCATTTAATTAAAACTTCAATTAATCCAAATTGCAATAAAATAAAATTCAATTATTCCTAATTTTAAGTAAAAAAAAAATTTAGGATTGGTGTACACTTTTTCTAAAACATTTTCTAGTTTTCTTTCTAGTAAATTTGAATTTCAAGTTAGGACAAATATTATTAATTGCTTTTTCATACAAATTAAACTCTGCCAAAATAATTGCATCACAAGAAATTATTATTATTAATTAAAAACATAACATAAATTTTTAGCATAATACTAATTTTCAAAAAAATTTCTGTTAAACAAATTTATTTTACATATTTTTAAAAAACATATTTTTTAAAAAAATTTTTATAAAAATAATACATTTTAACAACCAAATCTTATTAGAAAAAAGGATTAGGAAATATTTTTTTAGAAAAAGTGACCACCTACTAAAATTGAATTATTATGAACATATTAATCTATTAAAAATTCAATAATTCTAGAATTTTAATCAATGAAAAAATCAATTATTATTATAAATTTCAATCAATTAAAAATTTCAAAAATTCGTTTTAAATCATTTTGGAAATTTTATTTATGAGTTAAACTTATTTTCAAAATTTTGTTGATTTCAAAAATTGAGAAATTAAAAATTTTTTAAATTATTTTAAGTATTTATAACTGAATTATTTTTCACGAATTGAGCTTAAATGAGTTTTTTAAAAATATATAAACTCGTAAGTTTTGATGATTTTAACTTCAAAATTTTACTGAAAACCTGAATTAAAATAATTCTTTAATTAAAACTTCAAAGAATGTTAAGAAATAGAAACTTCACACTTTTTTAAACATAAAAATAATGATAATTTTTCAGACTATTATTTTTTAAATTTATTCATTAATAGTATTGTACAAAACGTTAATTAAATTCTATGTATATGCATTTAAACTATAAATAATAAAAATAACACAAAAATACTTTTTTGAGTGTTTGATAGTCACATTTTTCATAAATTGCTATTAAACACTCTGTTTATTCATCTCATAATAGGTATATAAACATGATTGTTTGAGCATAAACTTTTCTATAAAATAAATTTTTCAAATATTAAAAATGACAGATATTAATTTTTAATGCTTACATAACTCTTAACATTTAAGTACATAAAAATAATATATATGTACATTTTGGTATTATATTTACAAGTTGTAATAATGAGGCATACATTCTTTTTACTTGCAAATGTATATGGCACATATAAATTTGAGATATAGAAATATAACTTACATCTTTTACAATATACAGTTTTTGTTTTCTTTAAAAGTAGAAAAAACAATTAAAACGACACTTTGATTGTTAAAATACTGATAATTACTCGGCACAGTTTGGTATCAACTTTTACTAAAAACTATAATAAAAAAAATAACTATTTTTTAATTTTCACTATTGCTAATATATGCTTAGCTTAGTTTGATGCACACTAGTAATACTAATAAGTCGTAAATTTTTTTTACTATTTCAGATGAGTGAAATTTCTAAATATATATAGGTACATAAATTTCAGATATCAATGTATAACTTACAACTTTTACAATATAATTTTTGTTTTACTTAAAAGTAGAAAAATCAATTAATACTATACATTTTGAATTATTGTTAAAATACTGATAATTTGCTCGGCACAGTTTGCTATCAACTTTCACTAAGAACTATAATAATAAGAACAACAATTAAAAGTATCTTTTTAATTGGCAATACTGCTAATATGCTCAGCACAGTTAATTCATTAACTGTTACTCAATTCTATAATATTATTAAAGTCTTTAAAGATTTTAAGATTAGAGCTTCTAAACGAAATAGGAAGTTAGTTTTAATCAAAATAAATCAATTCTTTTCTAACAGTTGTTTCCTTTTAACTTTCTAAATCTCAGAACAATGTTTATTGCTCATTTATTCGGATATAAATAATCCCTCCTGGTTGAATTTGTTTATCGTTTGATGAAGTCACTTTTGAACCGAGATCATCATATATTTCCCATTTTTTCATTTTCGTCGTGCAGAGAGCTGTATAATGATCCGTTCCATTAAAAAGAATAATGCCAGTCAGCCTATAAGTAAACGTATATAATATTAATTAATGTGATTTTAAAGATAATATAACTATTAAATAATGATGTAAAAGTTTAAATAATGGTTGCTTTTCTAAAAATGAGTAAATTACTTTAATACTAACCGAAACTTTGAACCATATAAAGTAATATATCGAGGAAGCTCAGAAGCTTTGCAAGTTTGTGGTGTTGCTTTTCCATCTAGCTTCCTTACGTCACCATCTATGAAAATGTGTGCATTTAGATTCAGAGATTTGAAGGGCTTTTGTCCACATTTACAGTTTTCAAGAGGAACGTTTCCCCATGTGTCAGTCAGGGCCTCTTGAAGAGCTTTAAATCCATTTTTTGCGATTATTTTTGGATTTAAATAAAAATAAGGCACTTCCTCCATTTCAGAATTTCCACACTTGCAATTTATCATTCGATACGCACTCGGTTCATCTTTCATAATGAACTCCCACATGTCTGCTACATTTGAAAACACATTGATACTTTTCAACATTTTTGGAGATTCGATTTCTGTATCACTTTTGTTGTTGCGTTTTTCAAAATCTACCAATATTAAGCATCTTGCATTGTATACATTAATAGCCTTAGAAATATCTGCTCCAGATTTAAGAAGCATGTGAACAAATTGGCAACTGCTATTATTTGAATTTTCAGTATGCATAGAATATTCGAGAACCTCCATTACGCTTGTTAACAATATTTGCATAATGGCGTCAAATTGGCAGGTATTTTTCAAGAAGTAGCGTCGATCGTCAATTATTAACGGTTTTGTAAATCGTGATCCGTTTATGAGAAGCCAATGTTTTGATGAAGTAGTGAACTGCTTATTAAAAGCAGAAGCAATATCATGATGGGAGTGAATTTCGGGAAATTTGCGAAAGTACTTTGAAGGCTTTCTTTCTGTGGTTTCAAGTGGACGTTTCTTTTTCTCTTCATCTTTTTTTAAAACCTTATTAACTTTACTATTATTTTCTGACGAGCAGAAAACCAAGAAATCATCATGTTTCCCTTTATTTCTCCAGTTTTCGAATTCATGTAAATCATCTGTGTTCCAATTGCATTCAGCATTTAAATTTTGTGTTGTTGACGCTTTAACAAAAGATTCATTATTTAATAATATTGAAGATGAATTGTCATTGCTGTCAACCACATTGTTCACATTGGAAGTATTAAAAATCTTACTGCCGTTCATAATTGGAGACTGTGGAACATGTTCATCAAAAGATAGAAGAGTATTTGAAATTGAAGATTGTTGGTTTTCATTGTTTTCTTGTTTTTCATTTTGCTGATATTTGTAGAGAATCTGACGAGGATTAGTTACTGTGTTCTTTGGTAACATAAGTACTTGAGTTATTTTAGCGGAAGCTAACACACTTTGCCCCTTTAATGCTTCATAATGAATTTTAAACAGCTTATCCACTCTTAAAGGACCATGAACATGTTTCAGAATGTTGTTTTTCAACTGGTTAAAATCCCCTTCAACATAACAAGATGAAGGTCTGATGTAATTTGAATCAAAACTGTTTTTCATCACGGCTGTCCATAATGGGAATTCTTTACTCATATTACAAAGGTGATTGAAGAAACCTGGAAGGTAATATGGGTTCGGCATACTGTACACAGTTTTCTTATTTTTTTCGGCTTCAAGCTTAATGGCATTTATCCAGGTTTTAATACATTCTGCTGATTCCGGTTCCTCATTTAAAAATAGATCCTGTTTATTTGGATTTAATCCACTGACAGAAAGCTTTTCAATTAATAATTTAAACTCGGGACTGTCTTCCTTTGGAATAAGGTCAATTGCATCATGTGTTGCACATCCAATAAAATCGAGCAGTTTTATTCTTGCATCTTCTGCCGGTGAAGGATCAGTACTATTCAGCATTTGTCCACCATATTGATGTACGGAAATTCTTAAGGTTAATAAAAGAATTTCGCGAAATTTTTCCAATTCGTCGCACGATATCATTAATGCCACACAACGTATTAGGAAATCTTTGACTGCCTGAGTTCTGGAAGCAAAGTACTTCTGCTTACAAAAAATTGCCACGAGATGGGCCACGTCAATTCTTATAAAGCTTATATCATTCATGATTTTATCATTTTGTTTTTGTAAAACGTAAAAACAATCTTGAATGTATTCTTTGATTGATAAGTGATTAAACGATCGACTTATTGCGCCCAATAGTGCTCTCGAATAATCACATACCACTTCTTTAGGTTTTATATCAA